TAACTATTTTACACCTAAAACAAAGAATACTACTCATCTTTAAAATGCATGATGCAGGAAGAATTTTCAATAAAATTAATTTCAATTGCTTTTAGGAACTACTTCCTCCACAATTATTCTGAGTGGCAAAGAGCATTCCTTTTTAAGACTTTGGACTTTATATACTTATCTGTTTGGCTAGCAATGGATAAAGATCTTTTAAATCACTGCAGAATGACTAACAAAGTTACTGAACAATGAAAAAAACCCCAGGACTATGAAAATTGAGAACATGCACTTCTCACTACTTCACTATTTCCATGTTATTTAATGCTAACTACAAACAGCTGCTATGACAATCTAAGTAGTTTTCTCTCTGCTGCTTGTTCCTGTCTCTACAGGAATGCATATTTTGAATCTTTTGTGTCGAGTAATTCTCATTTCTCCTCACAGAAAGGAAACATGCTTTTGTTAAAACCTGAATCTGGAATTTTAAAGAAGTATTAGTATTAGGAAGTGACAGAATTGGGGATGTACCCAACAGCTCTCAGCTTGTTAATATTTTATTCCCTTACCAAAAAATCACTTTGATTGCCCTTCTCCTGCCTAGTATGTCCCACATAAACCAATCACAGGTGTATGTGACAGATCTTCCCTGACTATATTACTTTAACTAAAGAAAACTGCAGCTGGAAACAGAACACAGAGCAGATTCTACAGCAGTTACAGGTAAGGTCATTGAGAAACACTGAAATCAAAGTGGAATCTACAGTAACAAAAAATATTTAATCCTTGTTTTCCTACCATTTAATTTTGTGTGGGTTTGTCTGTCTTCTCTCAATGACAGATGGTGAATGCTGAATAGTACTGATAATTATGCCAGCAGTAACAAAGGATTTTGCTAAACAAACCCAAGGAAATTAATAAAAATAGTCCTCTTTAAGATATTAGGACCACCACCCTCCCAGCTTCCAGTTTTGGAATTCTTTGGTGAACAAATAAACAAAATTAAGAACCAACAAGAATCAGTAATGATTCTTCATATTTCTAAGGTCAGAAATGTGGCTGCAGGTTATATATGCACCTGTTGAGAATTAATCACTAAATTGCAAAGAACTTCTTATGCAAAACCTTGGTGAGAAGACACTATAATTACAGAGCATTATTACTGAAGATTGCTACAATATCCTGAATCTTTAATCTGTAACTGCAAACTGACCATCACTCCTGAAAATGCAGCTGTTTGGGGAGGGAGAGCAGACAGGGCTGTCAGACTCACAGTGGTGACAGCAGCTCAGGTGCTGCAGTGTGAGCCCCTGGAGAAGCAGCAGCCCAGGTACCTCAGGTGTCCCTGCACACTCTGGGCATGCAGGCAGCACCTCCTGGGGCGCTGTGCACAGCTGAGCAGGGCAGTGCCGTGTCAGTGAGCGCAGCGCTGCCCCAGAGCCCCGCAGCACAGAGCCCAGACCCCGCTCAGGGCACGGGGCAGGGCCTGCCCACAGCCCGCAGCACCAGAGCTTCTCACACAATGCAAAACTAATGAATCTGCATGTGCCAGAGTATAATTGATAGAAAAAGTGACCAACTTCCCAGTAAAATGACAAAACGCTACTGGGTATGCTTGATAGTCGTCGCTTTTCCTTTTTTATTTGCTCATCTTTACAAAACTGTTTTCAAAGAAATGAAGTATGTAATTTTTGAGTTTTCTAGTTTTCATTTTCCAAATGACTGATTGAAAGATCAGACATCCTCAAAACTGAGTAGGTCTCAGGTAATTGCTAATTGCATTTTTCTCTAATTCCTTTGCTTTCTTTTCTTCCTCCTCTTTATCTATAAATATTTTAATTGAGATGTCCTTAATTTTTGTTTAATGAGAGTTCTATAACATGAGACTTTAGTACAGTATAAATTAAGGAATATATCAAAATCAAATTTACAGTGTTACACTTCTACATAAAAATTACAGGTACCAAATAGTTTATTGGATCAACATACAGCCACTTCTAAGTGCTACTTCTTCCATCATTTAGTAACTTCAACAAAATTGAACCCATCCACTACAATTTCATGAAAGGTGAGTGTTAAAATAAGACCTACACAACCATCATGGGCAGATCAGCAAGTTCCTCCTTTTTTTCCAGAGTGTCACATATTTGTGCTTGTTAACAGTCACAGACTAACCACAACTTAATTAATGAAACAGCTGCAACTTGGTGGAAGTGTATGAACTAAGTTATTACAGATTTCTGTATGAGCCTGACTTGGACAAACACTGTAAACATGATTTCAGATTCATTACTGTACCAAAACTAATTCTAATTGTCTAAAGCAGAATCAGTAAGGACATCAAGGAGAACATTTATAGATAAAGTGGGATTGGGGGAAGGAAAGCCAGAAAAGAATTGTGGAAAAGAAAAACCCACATACCTGAGACCTACATAAGTAATTCCTCAGGATTCCCCTTTTCTTTAAAGTTAAAAACCTGAAAGAAAAGTTTGAAATTTTAAAACTTTGGTTCTTTACATCTGAGTTCTAAATTAGAGACAAAATAGTAATTAAATAGACTTAACTGATTAGGCTGTCTCAAAGGTTTTATTACCTTTGAGTGTCATTTCTCCCACATACTCCTAAAGATGAAGAAAATAAGAGCATGAGAGAATATTTAGAGTAAATAATATGACAAATGACAGAAAGCTACACCTTTCAGACATGGCTGCTCCACATTATTGCCTTTTGAGTGCAAAGTGAGCTCAGTGGAGGGAAAGAAAAATTAAGACTTCACAGGACAACAAAATATTTGAATTTTGATTTGAGCTGAATCAAATAAAGCATTACAGCTTGACAGTTCTCATTTAGTACTGGTCAGAAGGTGCCTTAGCTTGGCTCCTTTATTTTAACTGAATTTCTGAAGTATTTTACCTATAGAGGAATATTCAACTGCCATCACAGAAGAAAGTCTTTAAAATAATGCAGCACATGAAGAGGAGCAGTAAACAATGGTAACTGGTACTTTCTGCTCACCTATATCTGGAGAAGACATGCTGCAGATATAAACAACAGTCAATTTCCTTGGCCCAGTAAGTAAAAATCTCAGAGAAGTATACAAAAATAAGAATCAATAATCAAGCATAAACCAATGGCACAGAAGAAAAAGATTAATATTATTGTAGCAGCAGCATGACTGCTACATCACACTTTTCTTTCATTAAAACAGAAGTACTAAATTCCTCCAGATAGACAGCTGTTTTTCCCAGCCTGAGAAATGTGTTTCCTGCCACACTGTAATTGTCACAATGGGGGGAGATGCTGCCTCACACCAAATCTAATTTCTTCCCTTAGAAATATCAACACCTACCAAAAAAAGTAAATTCCAAATGTGCTTTACAATTAAGTTCAAACATGGGAAGAACTTTCATTTTATAAAAATACAATCTTCATCTACTTTCTAACTCTGAGGGAAGTATTAATTCAATAAAGGCAGGGGGGAAAAAAGAAAAAAAACTAAAAAAAAAAAAAGGATTGCAAGTTCTGCCACAGTGGAATCAAGCCTTCTCTCAAGCCTTTTTTGCATTTTAAGCAATTTCTAAAACCTGAAACACTGGAAACCTAGTCAGAGTAAATCCTGATCTTCACGTAAAATGAAGCAGAATACACACAACACTATAAAATGGCATCGATTACAGTTTTTGAAAGTATCAAAAAATTCTCTGTAACTGTGCTGCCAGGCCAAAATTATTCCAGCTACGACCTGATGTAGCTCTATTGTGAGTCACAATTCTTAAAAATTAAATCTCAACTTCCCAAACTGTCCTAGAAGTCTAAAGGGAGCCTTCTCTTTTTTCCAGACTCTCTTCTCAGTTCAGTCAATCTACAAATGAAGTGACTGCCCCAGAAACAACCCTGGACCAAAGCCTTTCATGCTGAACACTTCTCCAAGTGAGAACCACTTCAGAGGAAAAACAGGTCCCATTTAGGAACCTTAACCTGCTCCATTGTGAATGACAAGGTGAAAACCAGCACAAAGCAGACTAAGGAGTCAGTGCCCCAATCTGACATACAAGCTGGGAGAGCATTTATTGTCTGTCAGGAAAATCTCCACCTCCAAAGCCTGTGGTTTTACAGTGCAGAATTTCAAGCACAAATTCCTCATAACCCAAACATTTTCTCTCTGTGAAATCGCGGCTAATCAAGTACAACTAATTAAAGTTCAGAACAGTGTGTCCTACCATAACAAGACAAAAACCAAACAAACCCTAGCCAACTTGTCAAGAGACTATCCAACGCTTTTTTATGGAAATAAAGTTTTGCCCGATGGAACCCTTAAGCGGAACTGAATAAACATGTATGTCCCGGTTATGACAGAATGCCACTTTAAACAACAACAAAAAAGAATTCAGAGAAGTGTAAACTTTATCTAGATAAAGCTCCCTTAGTACCTCTGAATGATGTCCTACACTTCCATTCTCCGATCCAGAATGTTGTTCGTTTCCTTCATCTTCAACATCAGATCCTGAGTCTCGCTCGTCTTGCACTGGAGTAGCTCCTCCATCATCTATTCCGAGATTTAAAAAAGAAAGTAAAACTCAGCGTTTGAAGGAACCGCCGGGGAACCGGGCGGGCTCCGGCTCTAACGGGGCAGGGAAGCGGGGCTGTCCGAACGAACCCCCCCGGACAGCCCCGTGGGGCACGAAACCTCCCGCACCGAGGGGCAGCGACGCTGCGCTGCCCGGACAGCGGCTATGGGAGCGACTAACGCCGCGCTGCCTCAGGCCGGGACCCGGCGCTGCGCCCCCGGACCCCGCGCGCCCTGCCGTGCCCCACGCCCTCCCCGCAGGCCCAGCGCCCCGCGCCGCTACCGGACTGCTCCCCGCCGTAGTAGTGGCCGTCCATGCCCGCCCGCGCTGGCGGCGGCGCTGCCCCGGGCGCTCCCTCGGCGCGACCCCGGCCCGGCCCCGCCGCTCGCACAGGAACAAGATGGCGCCTCCCCGCCCAGCGGCACCCCGCCCGCGCGCGCGGGTCTCGCGAGACTGCGGGGCAGCGGCCGCCAGGGGGCGATGGCCGCTCCCGCCGGCCCCGCCCTGCGGGCTCGGCCCCGCCACAGCGCGTCCGGGAGCGTCTCGGCCTTTCCGGTGTGATTCCCTCCCACCCGCACCCCAACCCTCGATACAGGCTGGTTTCAGCGCTGCGGAAACTGGAGGATCCTTGGAGCATAAAAGGCTATTTGTAGCCCCTGAGTGACCACGGCAGTGCTCAGCTGCAGGGTGACCTGGTTGTGATCCTGGTCAAGGTCTGAGCCCTGCGGGAATTTCCAGGAGACCAAAGCAACCCCTGGCACTGTTAATGGCTGCTCGGAACCGCAGCCCTGAGCTACGTGAGAGCTCCCAACATCTCCCTTCTGCCAGACCAAGGGCATCTGCTGCGCTAATTCCCACTGTGGCTAAGGGTGGGCGATCTGGAGGGTGAGCGAGAGCAGAAAAGATTTTGCCATTTAAATAACAGGTAAATTTATCTGGTCCTTACAAGCCAAGAGAAGAAGATTAACGTTCATCTCCAGAAGAAAGCCAAGCAGAGCCAGAGCTCAGGCACACAAGGGCTCTGATGCTGCAGCGGGTTGGCAATGTTCGTGTCTGGCTGGAAGGGGACCCACCATGGCCGCGGAGAGGAAGGACAGGTTCTCCCAGCAAACCGAGGCCTGGCGGTCCTGCCTGAAGCTCCAGTTCAATCGAGTTCATGCGTGGGTGGCTCCTCCAGATTTAGCCTTTCAGGATTGACTGAAGGTTCACCCGGAGCTCTCGGGGGATGGTGACTTCCGCAGTAAATGTGGGCAGGGCAAAAGAATGCTCGAATTTTTCAGGGATTGTTGTTGTGTTCTGTTTCAATAGCCCCTATCCTCTAGTAGTAGCATTACTCAAGTATTTGGCATGCACATGGTATGCTAGTTGAGGGTTATTAGGAATGGCTGCTGTCATTCCTGCAGCATTTCAACATGATGAGTCTAATAAATGCATACGGTACTGGTGACCTGCCCCTCAGTCTGTCATAAAAACACCTTCATTTTCTAGGGAAATACAGGTCAATATGAGACAGATAAAAAACTGCTGCCCGTGTCTTTTGGTGTATTTCTGAACAACAGCGGCTTTTCTAATTCTGCATGCTGCACCCTTGTTCAGATCATCAAAATTTAGTAAGTTGAGTATTCAGGACAAAATGAGTCTAATTATTCTGTGCTAGAGGTGCCTTGGAGTGGGTGGCAGAGAGGTTAAGCCATTATTAACCAACACTTTCTGTCCAGCAGCAAGCACAGTTTCATGCAGGGAGCTCAGTGTACCAGGCTAAACACGGCTAACTCTCAGGACTGAGTCATTACCAACGTCTTCTACAGCAAAACACTTAGAAGGAGAATTTGGCAGTGGAGTCAGATGTTTCTCAGATACAATCCTAAATTCTTAGCAAAAATGCAGAAAACCTTTTTTTTTTTTTTTTTTTTTCCCTGAAAGCAGCTTCCATAAAACACAGATAATGTGTCTGTTTACAGCTTTACTGCTCTGGTCTTTTCCAGATAGCCACAAAGATCCTTAAGTGAGTCTCAGGACCATGCTGTTAATGGTATCACACCCTTTTTTCCTGTTCTCATATGATTTTTACTTCTTTTAGGTCTTTGCGCTGTGCGGTTTCACTGCAATCTTTTCTGGAAGGAGCTGGCACATGGCAGGATGTGATGGGAGGCTCCTGTCATTGCACTTCTCTGACTTCCATAAAGAAATGGAATGACTTTACACAACTGACTAAATCGAAGGCAGGATCGCAACTTTACAACACAACAGATAAAAGAATAAGGAAATAACTTGGGAGTAGTGTAACAGAAAATAATGGACAAGGGAAAACATAAATAGAAACTAACAAAAAAAAAACCCCAAAAAAACCCAAAAAATCCCGTGTGAATAATGTTTACCAAGGAAATTATACCAAAGGGCATAGAAAACACAGAAATCTATCCCATACTAAAATTTCCAAGTATATACCAAGAGTATGATGATAGTCTGCCTTGGAAATTAGTCCTTTATAGGTATGTGTCATGTTCTGCAGTCATGGTGAGCTGCTGTCCCAAATTCCAGATTGCACTGAGGCATCACTGATGAAAGAATGGAGATTTTGCACATTTACTGAGAGTGGAAGGAATTAGGAATTACTCTTCCTAATTGTTATAAATTCCAGTCTTTCTGAAATGATACCTCCTAACCTACTTGTGACATGCCACATGCATCACACAGGAGAGGGAGCACTGTGTCTGAAACAACCTCACCTCATCAATGCTGAATAACTGGGCATCCATTCCAGCCCTCGTTCTGCAGTAAGTGCGTACACTAACATGCACATGCCTTTGTTCCTCGTGAGCCAGAGCTTGGCAGTATCGGTCTGTAACATACTCTTGTAATACCATCCTGGCTGCTTTCCAAAAGGAAGGATGGAGTGACAGTCAGACCATAATGGGATTGCACAGTGGGGGAGAATGACCTGTCTTCTACCAAGCAGCGTAAGCAGCGCCCACTTGGCATGTGTGAAGGTGTGTAATGACACAGATCCCAGAGCCCCGCCAGTCTGCCTCACTGTGCAACTCCATGAACAGGCTGGAATGAAATAAGCCTTTCCCTGAGGAACAGAATGCTCAAGAAAACCATGCGATGCACTTGGAAATCCTGTAATGGTATGTACTTCTTATTTAGTTTGTTTCCTGCACTGCCCCTTTCAGAGTTAACAGACATCAGTGACTTAGAGCTACAAATCTGCTTAGAGGAAGGGAAGGAGGTTAGTGTAGGCAAGAGGACTGCTGAATGAACAGTTTAAATTGCAAATTGTTACACCCAATCCACCTCGCTTCAGAAACCTCAGAGAAATAACTAGTTTGACATAAAATGATGTTTGGTATCCAGGACCTGGTGATGCAGAAGTGACAAGGCCACTTTGATTTAGCTGGAGAGAAAAAACGAAAGGTAGTGCCATAAGCAAATTAAACCCCTTGATCCTGACATCAATCTCTTAATTAGGAAGTATCAGGAAGAGGCAGTTTTGTTAACACATGTCTATCTGGACAGACCTACTACTTTGAACAACAGCAGAAATAAATTCACCAGGGTTCCTCTAATTTGATTTTGTTGCTTTTCTCGGTGCAGCATTCATAATAGAATCACAGAATGGTTTGGATTGGAAGGGACTTTAAAGCTCATCCAGTTCCACCATAGCAGGGTGGAACTTCCTTCCACTATCCCAGGTTGCTCCAAGCCCCGTCCAACCTGGCCTTGGACACTTCCAGGGATGGGGCAGCCACAGCTACTCTGGGCAGCCTGTGCCAGTGTCTTGCTACATAATAATTTTTTGAGCTTTATTACTTAAGATGTAATGTCACTATCTTCACCATCAACAATTTGCTTAAAGGAAAGCCTACAACAATTAATCAGCATAGACCATGCTACAGATCACCCCTAATTACCACTACAAGTGTTCCTGTGCCCTGCAGAGTCCCTCACCAAACTCTGTGTTCAGCAGTACATGGCATTGCTCATTCCTGGCAAACTCTTCTCCTGTCTTTCCCTGTCTGCAGAGCTCAGTGCCTGCCAAACCTGAGCTGCCCCTGTGCACTCACAGGTCTTTCTCTGGAGGCACCTTTAGCCTGCTCACCTCATTAGCTGCATGTGCTTCACAGAGCATCCCAGCTGCTTCCCCTTGGTATATCAAGTCCCTGCTCCCTCAGCTTTTGTCTTCTACCTCTTGAGTATGTCAGCTGTGGAAATCAAAATCTCTCTTCTAGTGCCTATTTCAGCTATACAATAAGTTGTACTTTTCTTTCAGATGACCTTGATTTCCCTATGATTCCATCTAGTACAGTGTCTATAGGACATAAATCCTGTACTTCTCTCTGAAGTTGCACAGGCACTGTCTTGGGCACAAGTGTTAACAATGTAGTTAATTTTAGAATGAGATTCTCTGCCCTCAAACAGGCTCCATTTGGAATTTCAGCAGGTATGTTTTGTTTGCTGAAGGAATATGCATGGCATTTTTTGTCAAATTATACAAAAAGCTTTGCGTTTAGATATCTGCCTTGGTAGTATAAAGGTATGTACTTTGATTTCTTTGCCACTATTTGACCTTTACCTAACAAAACCAGTACTTGGAATTTTGTTAATCACATACAGCAAATAGACATCTAAATACTGTATCAAAAATAAGTCTGCTAAAGAACTACTTTGAAGCAAAATCTTTGAGTAGGAATGACTTTCACAGTTAGAAACTTGAAGAAAGCTCTCTGTGGCTTTGTGCTTCACTCCAAAAGTCTCTGAGCCCGGAAGGGCCTACATTTTATTTCTGCATCTGTCTGCTGCTGTAAGACTTGAACAAAAATTCAAGTAAGGAGGCTGACATTAAAACACAAATATGTGATGTTGATAAACACATGCTATTCCCAACTATTTATAGTCATGCTTGGATATTTACTTTTGATTTGGATGTGGAGCTACATCAGGGGCCCCATTATACAGTGCAGCCACACTGAACCTAGGAAACAAGAAAATAAGAATTAGGGTATTAACTATACTAGCACATGCTCACAATTATTGCACATTTATATTTGCAAGTTTAATAGTGGGTACACAGACTAGTGCACAGTGTTGTGCACAGGGCTCCGGAGGAAGGTGACACGGCTGGATTAAGGTACTTGGAAAAAATCTTGTCTTCACTGTTTGGGCTCAACATAAATGCTGGAATGTGCTTGATTCCTGAGTTCTTGCTTTGGCTGCAGAAACCCTGTGTCTGCCTCTCTACATATGTACTACACTTCTTTTTTTTTCCCATACTGGAATTTTACCAGTTTTGCAAGAAGGCCACAGAGAGTACATATGGAGTCAATAGACAGAGGAAAATTCTTGGCCATCCTGTCCCATTTTGGGAAGAGAGAAGTGGACAACTAGGGAGTTAACATGCACCTAGATTCTGAAACGCAGGGACAGAGTGTTTGTTAAGAGTGTTTGTTGAGAGATAAATTAATGAGAGTGAAACCAGGATATTTTGTCCAATTATGTGGGTGTGTATATGAATTTCAGTTAAATGTGATGAGTTAATTTTGGTCTGTACTCTAGGTACGGTGAAACACAGACCAGAGAGAACACAGACTGATGGGCATTTTCTTGCAGAAAAGAGCTATGGAAAAACAAGGGGAGGTTTTGATGAAGAAATGAGGGTGTGATTTTCTTCATACATAACAGGCTGAGAGACAGTCCTAGGGAAGTCAGTCATGTTGGAGCAGGATAAGACCAGATGCTAAAGGGTTTTCTTCTGAGAGTGCTTTCCAGAAATCTGAAAGGATAGAGGCCTAGTGGAGAGACTGAAGTTTAAGGTTCACTCAGGCAAGAATTAGCCTTCGTGCTCCCTGGAACACCTGACCTGGAAGTGACATATACACTAAACTGGGAGCAAAGTCCTGTAATAAATAACCGTGCTTCAGTCATTTCCTCCTTTGTGCAGTGGAGAACTGTAACTTAATGGCACCAGGGCCACTTTCACCGTCCTTTCCCTTCTTACTCCAATGCTTATGAAAAAGAGGGACCTGAGTTGCAAAAGCCGCACAGTGAAGATTTCTTCTGGAGAGGTAAATGCCCATCCTGTGGGGTGTGATTTTGTTTGTGGTGCAGCATTACTTTGTCAAGAGCAGCAGCAGAGAGAGGCAGGCTTGGCCAGGAAGTGGCCATGCAACCAGGTGCAGGGGGTGGCCACTTGCAGTTTCTCTGGGAATAAGAATTTTAGGTGTTGGAACTGCATATCCTGGGATTATATGGCATCTCCTCCCTCCATGTCTGTCTTGGCTGCTGTCAGACCGGATCTGGAAACAGCTGACCCTTTGATGTGACCCTCTATGGCTGTCTCTGTGCTTGCAGCTGCCACTTCCTCCTTGTTCGGGGTCAACTTTTCTACTCTTTTGCCATATTCTGGTTTCTGGTGCAGGTGAAAAAGGGCTTGTCAGTTGTGAATCACTGACTGTGGCCCATCTTTAGCACATATTTGCCAAGGACTGTGCTTCTGTTCCACCCTGCACCACTCACAGCAACAGGCCATCTCAGTGTTGAAGTTGATCCATAGGTCCTGCCTCTGAGTCCTAAATAAGATCATGAGGACTTCACTGTAAGAATAACAGAATATGAAAGACCAGTTGGCAAATCATCCTAGACATGGAATCACTCCCAAAATCCAGCTCTGTGGGACAGAAAGTTGCTTTGAAGACTTCAGTTTCTTGATTAGGACAGCCTAAACTGCACCATCCCTTAATTAAAGCAATGCTGTAGATTTCTGACCACTGAGATTTTGGCTGCAATGTTCTTAATAGTGTGTTCCTACTTTTACTGTGGTTCCCTCCAGTCCCTTATTTTGCTGTTCATGCCTTGATTGCAATCCCTCCCATTCCAGCCAAGGAAGATGAACTCTAGCCCTCTGTTTCTGTTTAGTGGTGGGTTCAAGCTGGAGGGTCTGAGGGAACTCAGCTCAGAAAGTATTAATTAAACCTGTGTCTCTGGGATAGCCACTGAACTGCTGGGTCAATGGACTAGCTAAAGGTAACTCTGTTGTCCATCAAATCACATTGCACTGTGGAGTCTTTTTATTAGTGAGCCAACCTTGAAGTTCAGACAATTGTGCCTAGCAGTTGACGAGAGAATTATTTGGTATGAAAATGTGGACAGTGAAATCTTTAGGGCTGAGAGCATCTCCAGGGTTATGTGATAGAACTCAGAGTACCACTCCAGTGCTGTAGGGTTCTTTGGTTTGTGTAGATGGTGTCATTGTTTCTACATTGAGTGTATCTTACTATGATCTCTTCTACTTAAAAAAAAAAAAAAAAGTCAAGACATTTTGATGTTTTTTTGCAAGGAAACCCCACTGTCTGTTCTCATCAAAGCCCTTTTCTGACCTAACATTATGTTCTTGGCACGCAGGTTGCATACAGTGATCTGAAACATAATGGTGGTTTTAAGAAAGGTAAGTCCTACTCTTTGCTCTGATTGAGTGATTAGCCTGATGCCCAAAGAGGAGGGAAATTACCTTAGCATCATGATTCAATCAAAGGAAAGTTGCAATAACCCAGTATGAACAAGGTATAAAACAATTTTAGCCTAGACTAGGGAAGCAGAGGTGTCTTGCCTTACCAGCCCATCCTCTTGTTGAGCAGGTGACCTCTGTCACAAGGTGTGGCATTGAAACCACACAAGTTACCTTTGGAGTTTTATTCAACACAAATAAGAGCTGCTAGTCTGTAACATTCTTCATAATCTTGTGCAATGTTTATGGATGCTTAACATTGGTTGTTTGGTTTTAAATGTAAGCCACAAAGTATTTTGAGAGGAAAAAGAAATATTTTTTTCAGTAAAAACATTGAAACTATGACAATTGGTGCTATGGTGTGTAACAAAAGTTGTATATGACAAGACAGCTAGAAAGTCCACTGATCTACAACTCTGTTCAGTTTTTAATCCATCTTTCTGTTTGAATCTGTATTAGGGACTGGAGCAAGAGAAGGTGTTCCCGAGAGCCTGGAGTAGGGAAGTATAACCAGGACACTGGTACAGGCAACTCCAAGATGTTGCTTATTCCTAGGAAAGGGCAGCTGTGGCTCACCCCTTTCTCCAGGCACAGCAGAGCAGGTTCTTGCTTGCTCTGCAGAGGTGTCAGATGTTGATAAGCATCTACCTATGTGAAGAGAGGAACTGGGCTGGATAAAGAATGTTAGTGGGTTTTTTCATGAGAGAGATCATGGAGAGATCCCATTTCAGCTATAGCAGGAAAAATATATATCTAAAATTTCTCACAGCAGAGGCCTTTACATTTCCAGGCATCCAGTATGTACATCTATTTGTTTTTATCTTTCCTGGTAAAGGCTATGCTCTCAAGAATCTCTTCTGAGAAAATATCATAGCTCATGTGAGGCTGCCAAGCCAGTTGCCCAGCACTCACTATGCCCCCAGCCATCCTCTGAGAGGTACTGGAGCTGCATTATTGCTGTCCTTGGAAAAAGTGTTGCCCCATTTCCTCTTGTGAGACAGCTGGGTTTGATGACTTGTCCAAAGTCATGTTCCAGATCAGCTGTGGTGCTGGGAGCAGAATTCAGAGGTCTGTAAATGTGCTGCCTGCAAGCAGTAAGAACTTACTCAGCTGAACAGTTTTAAAGAAATCAAATAACTAATAAGGGAAGACCAAGAGGTGTTTGCCTGTGAGCTACGTGGCATCGAGTATGTCACTGTACTTGACAGTAGCTTTTTTCTCCCCAGGGTGATCATGTGTGGCTGGACACTCAACCAAACAGTGAATTTAATGTCCCTATTGGGGCAGTTGTGAAGGAATCTCACTCAGGACGGATCTTGCTGGAGGATGATGAAGGCAAGGTGGGGTATGCTATAAACTTCTATAAAAGTTGAACATAAAATGTAAAAGTACAAAGTACAAAAGAAGGCCCTATTAGGTCAGACCAAAGCTCCATCTGTTCAGGTGGTCTGACTTTGATATAGGTAGGATATACTGGAAGAAAGGCTATAGAAATACGGCAAGTATAGGATGGTCACCTGGCATCTCCAGGACTGAGCACTAGGAAGATTCAGAGCTTCATAAGATAGAGGTTATATCTACATGACTAGGAAAAGGAAATGGATGGGCTCCAATCCTAAATTTGGTGAAACTTTAGGTGGAAACATCATCCCACTGAAATCAGTTCATCACTACCTCATACAATGTTCTGCCTCTGATGACAGAGTTACACTCTGAACAGAGTTAAAACTGGTAGTGTTCAGAACTCACCTGAATGGCTTCATTCAGTGTTTTAAACCATCTTGTTTTAAACCAGTTAATTCCTGTAGGCCAGTCACCTGTGTGTTAGAACATGCTTGCTTGAGCACGTATTATGCTGAAGCTCACTCTAGTCTAACCCAGCTCTCCTTTGTTTGGCTCTGAGCCACAGCATCCCATGTTAAAGTCTGTGCCTTGCCTTTGTCAGGAGCACTGGATCACGGCTCGGAATATGCACATGGTGCACCTGATGCACCCTTCCTCTGTCCAGGGGGTAGAGGACATGATTCGCCTTGGGGATCTCCATGAAGCTGGCATGGTGCACAACCTCCTTATCCGACATCAGGAGCACAAAATCTATGTGAGTGCCACAGTCACTTCCAGGAACAGCCAGGTCACTTCCAGGAATGGCCTCTACACTTGAGCAGCCTGTGAGCATTCACACATGGGGCTCTCTGACTTCTTTAATGACTGAGGGTGCCAAGGAGACACAACACAGTTTTTCTCTTCTTTCACTTGAGTACTTTGGCTGCGAAGAAGAGAGCTACCAGCAGCCCCTCAGTTACAGTGCTGGCACTGTGGCTCCACTTACTTTCTCCCAGAGCAGTCATTGCCACCAGCCACTGACAGTAAACTAAATCCAGCCCATGTTACAGCTTAGTACTGCTATTACCTGGAGGATCAGCCTAACTAGTATGCAGTGACATGATTTCAATTGTCCCCCAGTCCAAGCCAACATTTACTTGATTTTTACATAATAAGATGGCTAATGAATAAATCTGGATATTTTGTCCATTATGGGTTTTATCTGTAACTGGGAAATTTGGCATTTTTATTTTCTTTTTTTCCTTAGTTTCCAGTTTGTAATATTATAATTAATACTAGGGTTTTTCCATGCTTTGCCTCCCATATTAGATACAGTACTAAGAGAAGCTGCCTCTTAAAACATAGGTGTGATGATATTTAGTGTAAAAAAGGACTGATTTTATATATCCTAAAGTTACTGTAGGTGTGTGTATAGACTTGTTATATTAAATTCTAGCAGCCTGCATTTGTTTAATGTAGTTTCCAAACAATATTATTGCCTTGTATCTCCACAGCTTTCAACAGCCTCCTTCATTTCACTGGTAGTGCTGTATACAAATGTTTCTAAATCACTGTATGAATAGCACTGTAACTGTAACTTGGCCTGCTAGCAAAGTTCAGCTATATCTGCACTAGAATACAAAAGTAGCTTAACAAAACACTTGAGACAGAGAACTGAGCTGCCATGTACATGCTAGGTGTAAAGGAGATTACACCTAGCATTCTCCCTTGGGCAAACCCCTCCTTATCCTGAGATGTTTACCAGCAGCTGATAGTGAGGAACTGGGCTCTCAGCCTCACCCAAGTGCTATGATCTCCCAGGCTTCCCTGCTGCTTCTATTTAGATTTATACTGCAAGTGGCTTTAGTTGTATGCTTGTTTGCTGTAGCAATAATCCTCACAACTGTTTTCCAGACTTACACAGGATCAATCCTTGTAGCAGTGAATCCATACCAGCTGCTGCCCCTCTACACAGTGGATCAGATCAGACTGTACTGTAACAAGAGAATTGGAGAGCTTCCACCTCATGTCTTTGCCATTGCAGATAACTGTTACTTCAATATGAAGAGGAATAAGAGAGACCAGTGCTGTGTGATCAGGTGAATGGACTCGGAAAGGACAAACAGCAGAAACCAAGTCTGGCATGGGGCACCTTGTGGACACAGGTGGACACAGGAAGGTCTCCTGACCTTCCAAATGGAGGGGCACAGATAAAACTGGAGACAACAGGAAAGAAATATTTTCTTCCCTGCTCCTTCATTTTCAGTTAGGGCTGCAAAAGGTAAAACGTAAGCAAAGGATTTCTGAAGTCCGTTGTTTTCTCTCAGAATCTTTGAATGTGGTTGTACATTCTGCACATGGTCACTACACACAGAAACATAACACCTGAGTGTGTATGATGTAGGGCTAGCTTTTACCTTGGAGACAGGGTGTTATGTTACATGTATTTTCCAAGGCTAGACATTTCCTCAAATGAAGTAACCTCTGCTAACCCAAAGGTGGATGGAAGCTTTCTTCCTCCTATAAAGAATCCATTTTCTGTTTGTCGTCAATGTGAAGAAGCAGATAGTCTCATTGCAATAGTATATTATTATAGCTGAGCCAACTCAGGTAATATGCTAACACTAGTATTGACAATCTGGTAGTGCAATGAAGAAGAAAAGCAAGTGGTCATTTAATTTGTACAGGTACAGAATGTCTTCCATAGATTTGCTTGTTTTTAGTTAGTGGGAGAATTTAGTTCTCAGCCTAAATCTGAGCAGATTTATTGAGCAGATAAGATGATGAAAGACTCAAAATTTTCAGACCTCTATGAAAGACAGTCTGATCTGCCATTCACAGGGTAAACTTAAGTGGGATTGGTTTTTTGTAACTTGGTCTGCCACATTACCAAAAAAAGAAAGGAAGCCTGTAATGATCTCTTTTTCTTACTGCAGTGGAGAATCTGGTGCTGGTAAAACTGAAAGTACAAAGCTCATACTACAGTTTCTGGCAGCTGTCAGTGGCCAGCATTCCTGGATAGAGCAGCAAATCCTAGAGGCCAACCCCATTCTGGAAGGTGGGTTACTTAGCAAACATGACTAATTTACCACATTTGTCTCAGGATAAGATGAATCGGAAACAGATCCTTGAACTGTTGTATCTGCTTAATTGGTAACCCCCCTGAAACACTGGTGATGCACTGTAGATGTTCTCTATACTTTTCTGCCATGTTCCCATGCAGTCCACAGCAGCTTTGCTCTCACACTGTAGGATGAGTTGCCTCTGTGGTATACACCCTGTAACTGCCAGGAGCTCAAGAGTCCTTGGGACTGCAGAGCCCAAGGTAAAGCCCCCTGGTTTGCATTTGCCCTAGACAGTGACAAAGTGACTGGCCAAGCATAGATGTATCTGTAGGGAAGCTCCCTGAGACACCCATCTTTCTCTGCACAGGGATTAACATGTTCCCAGTAAATCATTCTGGAGGTCTTCAGACTTGCCCAGATCTCTTGGCTGGCCAGATACAGACCACATTTGGATAATTTGAATGTGTCTTTTAGGACCCAATTGTCTGGGTGCACAGTATGCCTGCCCCTCTCTACAGGAGACAGACTGAGACAAGACATCCTCCAGTGCATCTCAGCACTGTCATTTGGAACACAACATGTAAAATACTAGCAGCAAAGTGGAAGGGGAAAAAAAATAGGCTTGGTGTTCACGAACTGCAACAATACAGATATTATCTCTGTTCCTTGCTCATCAGCTTTTGGAAATGCCAAGACAATTCGAAATGACAATTCAAGCCGCTTTGGGAAATACATTGATATTCACTTCAACCAAAACGGGGTGATAGAAGGAGCCCGAATAGAACAGTTTCTACTGGAGAAGTCCCGGGTCTGCCGGCAGGTGAGGGCACTGGCAGGTGTACATTCTGCCTGTTCTTGTATTAGAAGCTTATCCTGACAAGGCTGTCCCTTGGACTACTTTTATTTTTAGGCTCCAGAGGAGAGGAACTATCACATCTTCTACTGCATGCTAATGGGGATGAATACAGAGCAGAAAAAGATGCTGAATCTGGGCACTGCTTCAGAGTACACTTATCTCACTATGGTAACAATCTCTGCTTTATTCTCTATTATCCCTCTGCCATTTGCTTCTTCCATCGAGCAATTGCAATCACTAGGAGCTGCAGATGGTAGTTACCAAATATGAACAGTCCTTCCCTTAGAGTACCAGAGGCAGTAACACCAAAAATGCTGTGAGCATCAGTTTCAGGCACTTACTGTACTGTCCACCAGCAGGAAGCAGCTTGTGGCAGGTAAAAGCTTTCTGTCAAAGTCAGACCTAAGAAACATAAAGGACATCTTAAAACAGAATGTGGACAATATCCCCCACTTCCACAGACACTCAGATTTCAAAGGGATCTCATGTCAGGGAGAACAGTAATCACATATATATATCTTTAATAAGAATCCTAGTTCTTATATCTAAAAAATTTTATATACATAATGCAGGCAGCTGGCCTTCAGTGTAACCTCCCACGTTTGATGCTAATGACCATGAGTTACGATGTCATTGTGGCAGAAGTGGGATCTTCATAGGAGAGGTTTTTGAAAATAGCTAATTGAGTGATTTAGGACATGAAAGCCATGATGAAAATCCTATCCTTTGGCCTGTGTATATACCTCATATTAAATATGCTATCTGGTTAGATTTGGGCTGTTCTACAGCTGTGGAAAGAGTGTGTTTAAGTCCTGCCTCTACCGAAATTAGGTGAGCTGGGCATCTGTTTTCTAGGAAATGAAAACAAGTCTGTTTTTGGAGTCTCAAAAGCAAACCCATTAGAATTGTGGAGATTTTTCAAATGTAGTGTTTTCAAAATGGCAGTGATCTTGCAGCAAAGCTGATGAGTGCAATTACTGGAATTAGCCCATTGGCCATTCCATAAAAAGGCTCCTGGGTCAGCAGTAGGGCACTGTGATACTGAAATAGGAGGATTGGATTAAAGGAGAACATATCCATGGTTTTGTAAAGGTCAGCTGTTGGTACAAGCTGGCATGTTTACATGCTATAAACTGAAATGTCTGGGAATATTTCATTTTTGTGATCATCACACTATATTGTCAGAAATGGCAAAGATAAAAAAAGGCATTTCCCCATCTCCATTACAGCTGAAAATAGTTTCTATCAGCAGCACCATCCTAGGACCTGCTGTGCAGGCTTTGATGAAGGTGCTTCTGATGCTGCCTTGGATGCTTCCATTTGCCTTCCACTAGGACCTAATATTTTTATTTTGAGATCTGCCTTCTACTACTTATCCAACCTGACTTGCTCTGGTTTGGGATGAGGGCTCTTAATTTTCCATTGACAAGGCAGAGAGAGGAAACCAAAGAAACAGGCAATGTAAATGTAGGGAAATGTAGGTAACCTTGTCAAAGCTTCCTGTCCTTCTATGCTCAAGAGCAGCCTTCCCATCAACTTTTCCTTTTGGCCTCCCAGTATTCAGTCTAGCCCTGGAGAAATGCATTACTGAGCCCTCTGTATTCTTTTTGAGAGAAAAGATGGAGGAAGATACAATCACGGGAGGAGGCTATAGAATGTCTAAATAGGTTTTTACCTTGCATCCTTATGGACTCACAGGATAACCACCCTGTGTACAAAGGCTTGTCAGTCTGCACATGCTTTCTTCCTTGTCTGGGTAGCAGGAAGATCGTCCTTAGCTGTTGGTGTGGTGCTTGCAGGGTAACTGCATGTCCTGTGACAGCCGGAATGACGCCAAGGATTATGCCCACATCCGCTCGGCTATGAAGATCCTCATGTTCTCAGACTCTGAGCACTGGGACATCAGCAAGCTGCTGGCTGCAATCCTGCACCTAGGGAATGTAGAGTTCCAAGGTAAATTCAGCATTGCCTGTGCTTACCTTTCCTCAGACTTGATGGTAAAGGTACTTCCCTTGGGTGCTTCCTGCTTCCACCTGCACAGATTAGGTTGTGCTGCTCTGACCTGTGTTAACAGGTGAACAGAGTTGGAAGGGCAGGCAGATAAGCACCATGAAATTCTAATTTGTGACTCCACTGCCATGTGATTTTAAAAACAGCATCTTATTATTATTTTGTCACACTGTCAGGTCTCCATGGTTGTAAACAGGCCCTTATCACACAAACTGAAACAACAGAGTACAATGCCATCTTACATTTGCTAATTGTTGTTCTACACAGGCCAGAGGACACAGGAGTGATGTTTGCCTTGGAGATAATAGCAGTCATCCTCCTGCTTAAGTCTGCTGAACAGTCACCTGCATAGGTGCACTTCTGGAATGGACAGGCACAGTGTGACAAGTGTGACCCACCACTACATGCCTGAAGCTTTCACATTTTAGAAAAGAGCTCCTCACTTTGTGGTACAGCAGGCCCGATACAGAGATGCCAGCTGGATTCTCTGGATTAATGCTGACTACTAAAATCAGGGATTTCTTGTATTCCTCTTTGTTGTCTAAATTTCCCACAAGTCAGATACACAGGAAAAACATTTACAGAAACCTATTTTCTGGGGTCAGTTATCACTTCCCCAGATCCCCAGCAGTTCCTATTTTAAATGAATAAACTTGTCAGTTTGGCTGCTATTTTTAGCCTGACATTCTAGGCACTAGAGAGCCCTGTAGATCTCAGGATCCAGGTGAAATCAGGACCCTCCTTGTAAAATCACCAAACATATCAGTTTCAAATGAGAACTGAGTACCTTGCCACATTCCCAGCATTATGGGGTCACAGAAATACAGCTACATTAACAACAATGATGGTTCCCCCTGAGACTGGCTGTTTCTTCCTTGCAGCGGCCGTGTACGACAACCTGGACTGCTCTGATGTGATAGACTCTCCACACTTCTCCATTGCCACCAAATTGCTCGAGGTAATAAACTCTCATCTTCTCCTGCTGGTTCCTCCTTCTCCCTTGTTCCATGAGCACACTGCCAGAGCACATCTCTGGAGTTTATGCAGCAATGAACATTCAACAGGCATGTTGCCTCTGTCCTGCTGACACTCCAGTCATGCTGTTGCAGATGTTTCTTCAAGCTGGGAGACCTTTAAATGGGACAGCAAGTTGCCAGTGGATGCTGCTAGACAAGCAGTTTGTCATAGTCTTCCTCCTGATACAAACTTTGCTGGATTTCCTTTGTTCACCTGGAATGACCAGGTTGCCATGACTGTTTCTCCAGGTGGACTCTAGTGAACTCCAGAACAGCCTCACAAACCTCTCCATCATTGTCCGAGGAGAAAGTGTGTCCAGGCCTCTGAATGTGGTTCAAGCTGCCAATGGGAGGGATGCCTTTGTGAAGGTACTGGTGCTCACAGATTCCTTGGTTAAAGACTGGGGATGCTTTCAGAGCTGTCCTTCTTCCTGGCTGAGGAGCCCCATGTGATAAATATTGACACAGCAGTTCCAGGCCCTTGCAGTTCTCAGACATAGCTTGACAGCACAATAGCAAGCAGTAAGTTATATCCAAAGTGTCTAATGATGGGCTCTAATTCCTCTTTCATTTTTTTTTTTCCTCAGGGTATATATGGACGGATTTTCTTGTGGATCGTGAACAAAATCAACTCAGCCATTTTCAACCCTGCTTCTCAGAAGCCTAAAGACAGACATCAATCCATTGGTCTGCTGGACATTTTTGGGTTTGAAAACTTCAGCAACAACAGGTAGGAAACTCCACATGCAATGCAACAGGAAGCTGAAAAGCAGCTGATATAAAGGGAAAGAATGAAAAAACAAAGAGACACATGCTTTTTCATAATTATCCTGATTCTCAGAAAAATGGTGAAAATTCCATTACTGGATTTTCCCAGTTTTGATTACGCAGATTCCATTTTTCTTCAGTCTTGATCATATTTCTGCCTCCTTCCCCAGCCTTCATTTTAGTGCAGCTATTGTACGTCTGTTCCAGAACCTGAGGAATTTTCTATGGGGAGATGGCTATGGAACTACTATGGCAGGCAGCCACTATGTGAGGATGTTGTATATCCCTGTGTCTCTGGACCAAACTTTCCTGTTCCATAGGATTTTTCAATATCTCTTGGGACACATTTGGCATGTAGGATGAAGGAGACCGTGTTGTGTTTCCCATTTCCGCTCATGTTTACATATTTCTCAGTGTTCTCCCATCATATAGTTGGTTTTTTTTTTGGTTGGTCCATTTGTTGTCATTGGTTTTGGTTGTTTGCTTTTGTTTGCTTGTGTGTTTTGTTTGGTATTTTTGGTTGGTTTTTTTTCTGTTTCTGCATTTTTGGTTTTTTGTTTGTTTGTTTGTTTATTTTCTTGTTTTGTTTTTTGTTTTGTTTCATTTTTGACTGCTTCATTTCTCTACTCCTAAGGGCAGGACAGCAAAGTTCCTGGTCAGCACACCATTGTGTCACTGCATGTCACTGCTGTCTCTTCCACTGGTGTTTCCATTCCCAAAGCAGCATTTCTGTTTGCCCTTCTCTCTGGGGGGAGGGGCAGCAGCTCTCTCAGTTGTCAGGTACCATCAGTTCTCCACAAGCACATACTCTGCAGTCTCTGCAATTCATTTCAACTGATGCCTCTTGCCTTCAGCCAGATAATGTTCCTCAGTGACTTTTGGAACAGAATCTAGGATCTCTACACTCTGTCTTCTACCTTTTGTGTTCTCTCCTGTTATTTTGTGCTGTTCCCAAGATCTGCAGTCCCCATGGGTCCTCATTGTGGTGAGCAACCCAGAGACACACACAGTGTGCCCCAGCAAGTACGAGGCAATGATACTGAGGTGCAACATAAAGGAGTAAATAATAAAAGAAGTGGTAGTGCCAGTGCAAGCAGAAACATGTCACATGCTCATAAGTCAAGCAATTTTCACAGTTATCTGGGTCATTGCTCCTGGTCTTTGCCACAGCAGAAAATTCCTCCCTTGTAATTGCTACGATTGGCAACATGCAGTGATGGCAGTGACCAGCACTGTGGAATATGGCAGTGGTGTATCTGGAATGCATTTAATGCAGAGGCCAAACAAGGAGTAGAGACCAGTGCAGCACTGGCCAAGGTGACCATGGGCTTTCATCTTGTTCTTTCCCAGCTTTGAGCAGCTGTGCATTAATATTGCAAATGAGCACCTCCAGCAGTTCTTTGTGCACCATGTCTTCAAGCTGGAGCAAGAGGAATACCTTGCAGAGCACATTGCCTGGAACAACATTGATTTCACTGATAACCACCAGGCTCTGGAAGTCATTGCACTCAAGCCCATGAATATCATCTCCCTCATTGATGAAGAGAGCAGGTTCCCAAAGGTAAATTTCTGGTTTCGTAATGCCTGGCTTTGCATACAGCTCACAGGTAACACTTGGGTTTAGACACACAAAAGTACAAAAGTGGCTTTCAGATATGTTAGGAGAGGCAATATCTTCTCCCCATAGATGTTTCCTTCAAATTAACTCACTCCACAACTGCTTCACTCTCTGCTGGAATGTGATCTTCCTGGTGCCTTGCTGTTGAAACTCGTACAGCTGTTCCAGACAGAGAAGGAAGGAGTCCAGATCATTTTACAAGGGCTTCTTGGGAAATCTTTGAAATCGTTTATTGTTTGAGTATTGTTCTGCTGTTGGTCTGGGCTGCAGCTTGCTCTTTCTTCCCCTTGCTGACAGACTTAATTGAGCAATGTCACCATTGTGAGGAACTGAAGAGTAGCTACAGGCCTGGCAGCTAACCTTGGTGTCAGGGAAGGTCATAAACAAATAATTTTGAGCACCATCACAGAGCAGGAACAGAGCAACAAGCTGATCAGGTCCAGTCAGCAAGGGCCCTGCTTGACTAACCTGAACTCCTTCCATGACAAGGTGACCTGCTTAGTGCACAAGGGAAAGCCTGTGGCTGTTATCTGCCGCGATTCTGTGATTCTGTGAAGTGTTATCCTGCAAAGGCCAGACCTCTCAAACAGAAGAGCAGAGATGAAAGTAGCATCTGGTCTCAGTCATCCCTGTAGAGCATTTTCACAGGCTGCAGAGCATGGTGAGACTAAACTGGAATGTTGGTGCAGGAATCAGATGACAATGGTCCAGAAAAGCAAACCCCTGCCTCAGCTCATTTGTAGTCCTTCAGTAACTATTTGAGAGGATCATGTACAGGCAGACAGCTTTCCCCTTTCTTCCCTAAGAAGAGGGTGGTCCCACAGATCAAGAAAGCACCTCTTCCATGATTCCCAGAGCACATGACTTCTAAGAACAAAGCCCCCACTGCCCTGGGTGCAGGTGAGTGCAGAGAGCTCACATGGCCCATGAGGGGATGGCATTATGATGGCACTCCTTGAAGAGAAGCACCCAGCTGACTGCCTTGCCTCTGGAACTTGTGGTCTGGGCATGCTGACTGGGATCTTCTCAGGGATTCTTCCAGGGATCTCTGAGTCTTGCACCAGCTGGGGAGTGCAAGAAGAACTGTACCTGCCCAGGAGAAGGAGGAGGCATCCCTTACAGCTTCCTGGGTAGGAGGGCATGAGAAGGTTGGTGAGGGGCTTTGCTTGGAAGGTCCAAAGATCTGGTAAACTCTCAGCCCACCTAGTGATGTTAGTAATGTTTTGGGGGCTTGTGCACAGCCCTAGAACATCAGGCCCTGTGCTTGATATTGTGTTCTGTCATGATGCCTGAGACAGGGGTCCATGTAAAAGGGAAGATATTTTTGGCACTTTCTCCAGATCTACTATACACATAAGGGCAGAATTTTAGCTTTTATTATCTCTAAGCACCACTTCTGTTTGTTTGCTGAGCACAGGCCAGTGCTGGGGACAACATGCTTAACCATCCTTTTTTACCTGTATTTGTTTCTAGGGCACAGATGCCACCATGCTTGTCAAAATCAATTCCCTCCATGGTAAAAGTAAAGTCTACATCCCACCTAAGAGTGTCCATGATACAAAGTTTGGCATCAACCACTTTGCTGGGGTTGTATTTTATGAATCAAAAGGTGAGCCTATCTCTGCTGGATGTAAGGATGAAGGGAAAGCCATGACTTGCCCTGGATGCATGATGGATGCATGATCTGGATATGTGGCTCTCCAGGGTAGTGTTGATCTGAAGTTGATCAGGAGGTCAGAAGGATTACTCTAAACCAATCTGCAAGTTACTGGAAATTAAGTGGATTTTACAGGTAGACAGTGGTGCTAGAGCCAGCAGGCTACAGGGGTAACAGGCTAATATTATTTCCATCCTATAGATTTCCTGGAGAAAAATCGTGACACACTGAGTGCTAATGTAATGCAAGTGGTCCATTCCTCCAAAAACAAATTCCTGAGGGAGATTTTCCAGGTGGAAACAACCCTACCTATTCTGGGACGTGGGACCATTCGGCATCTTGGCTCTGATCAGGTCTACAAGGTTGGTTTACTGGCACTGTCTTGCAGAAACAACTCATTTCTCCTGCCTTCCATAGAGCTCTGGCTGTTCTTGATCTCCTCTTTGTATTGCACTCTCTGCAAATCCCTATCTCTGTCATTCAAATTGTTTCTGCCAAGGGGGCTGCAGGAAAAGTCAGGGTCTTGCATTCAGGCTGTAAACAACTGCAGTGTCAGCCCTGTCTCCCAGGTGTGCACCCTGGACATCTGTGTAGCCATGCCTGCAGGCTGTTTCAGAACCACAAGTCCCCACATGTTGTCACCAACTGGATGTCACTGTGTGACAAAGTTCATGATGGATCATTATCACACACTCCACTGAGCCTGTTGTGTCTGTGCCTAGTAAAAATAAGGGTGTGAAGTGCAGTGGACTAGAAAATAGTGGGGGGCACAGTTCAGGTTCTCTGTCCTGCTCCAGCTTCCGCATACTTTGATTTCTGAACATTTAGCTATGTAGTGTCACCACTATGTGAAGGTACTTTTGCTTTTGCTTGTTTATATGTTTGAGTTTTCCTGTCAGGATACAGAACAATCAGCTTGCAATCTTACCTGTTATGTCTATTCTCCTGGCATTGTTTTCTGATCTTGTCCTTTCTTCCTCTGTCTTTGTCCCAGTGTGGCTTTTTGCTGTCCAGAACACCTGGCCACGGACAGGTAAACATCCTGGGGGCAAAGAATGTCAGAAGTGGTATAAGCAGCAGATAACTGGCTTAGCATCTCTTAAATGCTATGAATACCTCCATGATTAAATACCAGGTGTATTTACATTGCTCTAATGCTCTAAAGGGCCTTTCCCTATAAAAGGCTGTGTTATTGAAAAAAAAGTACAGCAGCATCTCAAGAAAGGAAATACCAAATGTGGACTGCCTCATGTCAAAATGCACAGAAATTAGCTGTTAATGTTCGAATAAATGGTACCACCATTGGGAAGCTCAAGAAGCAGGCTACAGAAAAGAATAATGAATGATGTGCCAGAAAACACTTTTTTGTCCTGAGTTTTGTCAAGAGTTCCTTTCCTGACACACCACAACAGAAAAATCACCATTAACTCAACAACAAATTCAGCTTTAACAATACTGAATGTGTGAAATCATGAGGGCATGGGCTTTGGCCATGTGTGGCCATCCCACTGATGGTACAGCAGAAAGGCCTCTGAGGTCTGAGAGTGAAAATCACTAAAATACATGTATGTTGTTATTATATCCACTTCGGGTGCTTGCTAGCCCTAAGATGCATCAGAGCTGCAATGAGACATTCCCAGGAGCTGTTTTCCAAAGACATGAATGATTGATCACTGGAGGGCAGCCTTGCCCTATAGCTAAAGCAGAGGGTGGAAATCTGAGTATTCAAAAGGGTATTTTAGAAGAACAGTGGGATGAGGTGTAAAGATCACAGAAGTAAGGGGGAGCCACTGGACTTTAAAGTTTTTACTTTGAAAAAACTCCAAGAACCCCACAACAGACCAAAGCCCCCAAACAAACAAACAAACAAACAGGTCATGTTGTGCTCCAATGATCAGCTCATTGCCTGTATGTAAAAGGCCAGTGTAGTCCTTTTGATAAGTTGAATCTGTACTCTTGTCACTGTAATTTAATGTGCCCATACTGAGATGTAGAAACTTAGGCCTAATGTGATGATTTGTGTAAAGAAGACAGGTGGAATTGTGCTGTCAGAGAGGCTGGGAAGTCTGGAGTACCTCACAGCTTATACTCCAGTAAAAGTTTGCCTTTTTCCCTGCTTACTGTATTATTAATGAGCAAGGTGATCAGCTGTCCTAATCTCTAAGGAATGGGCTGTTCTGATCTTTAGCATTCCTAGCTATGATTGCAGCAAAATACCTGGCCTGGAGTTTATTCCTGCTTTGGGAGTGGCTGTTTCTCACCAAGCTTTCAGGCACACTCCCAGGAACCACAGCTTGGCACCCAGGCCTGGCACTAAACACAGCCTTGGTTGGAACAGACAGGTGCATGTGGGCTCCTGTGGGTGGAATTACTTCCACCACAGCCACCCCTGCTTCTAGAACTTAGTGCCAAGTAGGTGAAAGCACTTAGTGAGGGGTTTCTTTACAAGAATAAATGCAAATTAATAAGGTGCAGATGGCCAATGTAGCTCCCATGTAGGTAAATAATTTTTTTTTCTGGTGGTTTTGTGATACTGTAACATTGTACAAAAATACAAAGGTTTACTAATTGGCCTCTGAAAGTGAATGATGTTGCAGTCAGCATCTGCTTCCTCTTCCCAGGGCTTGGATACCACCAAGCGGCTCTCGACACTGGGAGGACAGTTCAAGCAATCCCTGGAAAAACTAATGAAAATCCTTGAGCAGTGTCAGCCATACTTCATCCGCTGCATCAAGCCAAATGACTACAAGAAACCACTGGTAATGTTCTAACAATACAGAGTCTTACTTTTGGTAAAGTTTGTAATGAGAAAAGTCTCTCAGTTTTTGTATAACATTTTATAGTTGTACTTGGCTGCATCCAAGAAGACCTGGAGTTCAGGGTATTCCTGCAATAAACATAATAGGAGGATATAGCATGGTTAATTTACAAAAGCATCTCAAAAAAGCACCATAGAGTAATGGCTAGCAAAAAATCACACAGTATTCCTGAGTAGAGTTATAGATGCCTTTTCAGTAAAGATAAAGACAAAACTGAAAAATCTGTGGGCCCTCAACACAGGAACAAACAAAAAACATTAGGATCAACTGTGCTCATAGTATGAAATAGCCTGAGACAGAATAGGAGAGCAGTGGGAGTTTGTGAGCGGGGTGATTTGGCTTAATCTGACATACCAGGAAGAGTCCATTTGTCATTAGGATGTGTGGCTGGGACTTGGGGGATTTTGATCTGGTTCTACTGTAAAACCTTGTATGGTGTTGGTCAAGTGCTTTAAAATTTTTTGAAGCACTGCATGTGGCTTAGTGAGCCAATTTTTAAACTCAGGTAAGATTAAACAATAATAATAAGAAAAGAGCAACATGCCTGCTGCGCTTTGCATGGTATGCCCAAAGGCCAAAGTTGCTAATACATCTATTCACACCTACAAAATTATATGATCAATTCACTGTTCATCTAAAATTGCAGTTCTAGAATGAAAAATGGTAGCCAGACTGAAGTTAACAGACTGTTTCTACTGCTGACATACACAAAATTGAAGACCTTTGGGGTGACTTGTTTATGCTTGCAATGAATTAATTTAGTGCATGGAAGAAAAATACAATTTAAAAAAGCACAGTAGGCCATTTGGAGGCCCTCTGAGGCTGGAGGTTAATAGACATGTTCTGAGGGATACTGCACATGTACCTTTCTTCAGTGCTAAGTCTCCTCCTTGTCTGCTTTCCCTTTCAGTTGTTTGATCGGGAGCTATGTATCAAACAGCTGCGATATTCAGGGATGATGGAGACCATTCAGATCAGGAAGGCTGGGTACCCAGTTCGCTACAGCTTTGAGGAGTTCTTCGAGAGATACAGATTTCTTCTGCCATGGTCTCTTCGACAAAAGGTCTGTAAGCAAAAACATGGTTTAAGGCTAATCTAACTTTTCCTTTTGAGGCTTTAGTCTTTCCCACAGTAGGAAGTTCTTGAATGACTCCTTGCAGAGCTGAGAGAGCAGTCAGCACAGGAGAAGTCATCACAGGGACTGTTATCATGGTAATTATAGCTAAATAGTTAAATATTCCCTTTGACCTTAGCTGAAAACACAGAGTTGCTCTGAAGTCCGTCTCTCCTTGGACTGCTCCCCACAGACATCCTAGGCAGGGTACCATCCCCATTCCCATTGCCCTCAGATGTTTTTTTCCTGTGATCACAGATTCTCAGGTCTCTGATGTCCTCCTCACACCCTGACTCTGGAATGTTTAGTCATGCAATCATATTCCTCCTCTTCCTGACCATGTGAACTGAACCACTTTCATTCATTGTACTGTCAGCCCAGAGGTCTGCAAGACCTCATCTGTTCCTGTTCTTCACCCTTTGGAATGCAGGGCAATAGATCCTTGCATAGTACTTGCTGTGTTTCACAGCCAAGCCCTAACATCATGATGCTTTTGCACATCAGCTGAAGAATGACACTCGACAGAGCTGCATCAGCATCTCCGAAGCAGTGCTTGGCAAGGATGAAAGCTGGCAAGTTGGAAGGACCAAGATTTTCCTTAAAGTAAGTAAAAAAGACAGTTTATTGTCTTTTCTCATGAAAAACTGCATGCTTCACAGTACAGCTTGGCCTGCTTGTGCAAGAATAGCAACCAAGGAGGACTGGGTTATCTTACAAACTCCCTCTTGAATCTGATGGTGGATCTTTTTTCTTGAAAGCCAAATGATTCAGTGGAGAGGATCTGGCGTAGGAGAGGCTGATCCTGTTTCTGTGCTACAGTGCTGCAGCTGAAACAGCACAGTGCAATGTATTGAAACATAAAAAAGAACAGAATACCAGTGCACTGGTGCAGAGGACCACCTTGCCTGTAGCATACCCCTAGCTGAAAACAGTCTTGCTGCAGGGAGATTCCTGCCTGTTTATGGCTATATCTACACTAACTCTGGTCAGGTGGTGTGCACTCTTCCTACTGCAGTCAGTCCCATCAATGCATTTTAGTCACATTATACTACATCATGCTGATTTTGGGTCTCTTTCTGATCATATGTCCCATTTCCAGAGGTTGTAGGTGTGTCTGCTAAGCTGGCATATCCACGCTTTCTTTTAACAGGATCATCATGACACTGTATTGGAGCTGCAACGCCAAAATATACTCACAGATAAGGTTCTTCTTATCCAGAAGGTGATGAGAGGATTGAAGGACAGGTCAGTGATCTTACAGAAGGGAATTTGCTTTATTTTGAAGTAGCTAATCTTTGTGGTGCAGCTTAACACACTCCATGCCGCATTTTTGAGTACAAAATGTATCAGGCTATACCTTCCACCAGCCTAAATTTCATGCTCATCATGTAATAATGCAGAGTGTATCTATGCAGATGTCAGACAAAGATGTATTTTGGCTCAGTTTTGTTATTTCTGTGATGTTTTTCAAAATGCAGGGCTGTGGCATGTATGAAAAGGAAGGTTTGAAAGGAGGACTTGCTTTTAAGATTTTTAGTAAACAGTAGACATCTGGAAAGCAGGAAATCCCCATGGAATCTGTGTCCTTCTCAGAACTACAAGAATTCTCTTATATAGGATGCTTCTTTGATATGTTGATAAGAATCAGATGGAAACGAACTAGTCCTTCTCTTTGCCAGGGATGCCTAATTCTTGCATTGTGTCTGGTTTAGTTTGAAATCTCTTCAGAAGTGAAATTTAGTTGCTGTCAAATAAATGTTTTTCTTCATTAAATGCTCTACATCATGCTTTGTACTTATGGATCTTGTATCCCCTCAATCAGAACCATGATACAGGACTGCATCTTGGTTTGGTTTAGAAATACTCTTGACCATAATGAAGGAAGAACTAAAAAATATGACACAAATGCCCCAAAACTTGCCTCTTGTTTTTTTTCAGACTCTAACTGCTATCCAACAGAGTATCCAAACCAAAAGGCTCACTTTGCTTTTACTTATAACCTGCCAGAGCTATATGTGCTGCCTTTTTCAGCTGCAGTGTGACAGTTTGTGCCATGGGAGGTTCATCTTGCTCAGATGGGCTCCTCATCTTGGCAACAAAATGGAGAGAAAGAGGTTACTAGATGGGGAAGTTAACTTGTCCAGTCTTGATGTGAGGGGTTTTCAGTTCTTGTAGAGCTCTCTGACCACAGCAATTAACTTGGGCTGTAGTTGCTATGAGTATTTTTGCAGCAACAAGGCTGACATCAGACTGTGGACATAAAAGAGAATAAAAAGCCACCTTATTCTCTACTACTAGCATAAGAAGCAACAGAGATAACCTTGTGTTTGTCCCCTCACATGTCTGTCTGCTTAGGAAGCAGTTCCTGAAACAGAGGAGGTCTGCTGTAGCCATTCAGTCAGCCTGGAGAGGCTACTGCTGCCGGAAGGAATTCAGAACGGTAAGATGAATGTGTATCAATGAGTATATATTTGTGTGTGTGTGTGTTTATATATTGTGCCCTGTCAGACTGAGTGGAGTATTAGGAATTAAGATAGTCTCAACTGAAGGGAGAATAGACAAGATGATGGGGTGTAAAGGAGAGTATAAAGTCCAAGGAGGGCTCTGGAACCTCTCAGGGCTTGCTGAACCTGTGACATTTCTGCTTTTTGGTGAAATAGGAACCAGTTGGATTGCTCTGGGGAATGGTTTTTCCCTCCCCAGAGACCCCTGTAGCTGTGACCATGTTAGTTTAACCTTTCCTTCCTTTCTTGACCTAATTGGCTGAAAGCCAACTATCTTTTCCTGAGCAGGAGTCTAGATAAGGCTCTGCTTTTCCTTGTTCGTTCTCTTTCCCTCTTCCTCCCCTGGAATAAACATATTGGACCACATCGGGGGTTGGAGCCTCTTTTGGAATCTTTTGCCAATGCCCCTGAAATATTTCCCCCAAATCCCTCTCAGATCTGGACTAGTCTGGTAACTTCAGGGGGCTGCGGGGGTAGGATATTTCAGAAACCAAACTCACATTTGGCAGGCCTGGCTCCAGAAACCTGATATATAAGTGGTCCCACACTTCTTATAGCCAGAAACACAAGCCTAGCCTTTGTTCATCATCACCATGCTATAAGCAAAGTATCTTCCACAATTGGAAAACTGCAGGAAAACTGGGAATTTGTAAAAAATTACCAGAAAAGTCATTATATCAATCTCACATTATTAAAAATTTTGCCAGGGGAGGTTCAGATTCAGATTAGATATTTTGGAAAAAAAATTCACTGAAAGAGTGGTCAGGCACTGGAATAAGTTACCCAGGGTGGCATGTGTTGAAGAGACATCTGAATGTGGCACCTGTGGCTATGGTTTAGGGGTAGTTATGATGGTGCTGGGTTCACAATTGGACTAGATAATTTTGAAGGTCTCTTCCAACCTTGACAATTCTGTGTGATTCTGTGTGAAAAAAACCTGGCTGATCCTCTATAGATGGTGCATTTTCTGGGTGAGGAAAACTGGGGGCACTCACAGATTATGTATTTGTGTGGCAGGGATTATTATTATTATTATATCCCATACATCCCATTTGAGATGGGAAGGAGAAACTGCCAATTTTAGTCAGAAACATTCAGTGATGCAATTCCTATCTGATTGTTTCCATTCATTTGGCTTAATTTCTGCTCTGTTCCTTCTCTTGTCATAATCCCAGGCTACCATTGTCAGTTTCTGGAGCCACTCCCTAGAACAGATCGCTCAAATAACTCTATATATTAGTTTTAAAGGCCTATTACTGGCAGAAAACAAAGCATAAAGAGCAATATTATATTAGACACTTCTAGTGTCTTTATCCAGTTACCAAATTTTGTTGTCTTCTACTCATCCCAACGCATCTCAGTGTTTTGGAGCCATGACTTCTCTCTGCCCCGCACAGGTGCTGCTGGGCTTCGGGCGCCTGCAGGCGCTGTACCGCAGCCGGCAGCTGGCTCAGCAGTACGAGACCATGCGGGCTCGCATCGTCGCCTTCCAGGCCCTGTGCCGCGGCTTCCTGCTGCGACAGAGGCTGGCAGAGCAGAAGAAAGCCGCCTGTGTCATACAGGCATATGCAAGGGGCATGCTCGCTCGCCAAACCTACCGGAGGATAAAGAGGGAGGTAATGCTCACAGATACCTTGTGAACACATTGTTTCTATGAACTTCCAATACAGATTTTATCACCATCAAGTGTTGCCTTAACATAGCAATGGGTGTGGATATTCATTTTGGGGTATTTTATTTTGAACTCTTGCCAAGTACAAAAGCAGAGTGTTAAGCAGATTGATCTTGTTTACATTTGATTTATGTGATCATTATTGTGGATCAAAACTTCACTCATACAGCTGCAGTGGCTGTGACAGAAGGGAGAAAAGATAAGATCTGTGTGTATCAGCCAGTCCTGCAAGGGGAAATTAACTTCTACAGCAGGGTGGCACTCAGGGAGTGCCAGAAGGGAATCCCAACACAGTGTGTCTTGGTAGGTGCTACCCTTGTCAGTCCATAGCACATGAGAGGCCTCTCCCTGATTTCCTTTCTGTACTAATGCTGTACCAACAGGACTAAGCCAGTTTGCAGATTTCTGCCTATGGACTGTTCCCTAAAATGTCAAATATTGAACTAAGACTCTGTTGGGACAAAGTCCTGGTGTGGACAGTTTGTTAAAGGCAGAAGGGAGTTGGTTCAGCAGTTATACAGTCACAGAATAGTCCTGTTGTCCACAGAACAAGCTGGAAGCCAGGAATATCCACTTGAAAGACCTGGGACCACTGAAAGGAAGGGAAGGGGCTATGAGATTACAAAAGGTAGATATGCTGGTAGAGGAACACTGGCCAGCATTACCCAGCTCACACCTGTGGACTTGCTCAAAGCTCTGAGCACTGCTATATTTAAAGAAAGATAAGACAGAGTTGTAACCCTATTGAAAATATAACAAGGCAAATACATACACATTTCTTTTGCAGCATAAGGTAGCACTTTAGCCAAATATGCCCAATGCTATTACAAATCTCCTGACACAAAACGTTTTAAAATTTTAAATATTGTGGGGCTTTTTGCTGTTAGAAATTCTGTGTTTTTCCTGTATCATCTCCCGTTGATTCAATTTTTATATAATTGCACATCATTACCAATAGGCCAACAGTCCATAAAGACAGCTGTAAGAGCAGGGCCCTGCGCTGATGTGCCAGGTCTTTGTGACTGCTTGACACAAGCAACATTTGACTTCTTGTTTCAGCACTGCACTGGCAGAGCTGGACCTCACAGTCACACAGCTTTGTAAAAGTGTTTCATCTTCATACCCTTCACTCTAGCAGAATGATCTTCATTCATGATGTTCCTGTTCAAGTTGCCTATTTCTGTGTTTAAAGGAACACCTGCCAACTCAGGGGAGAGAGGAAGCAGAAGCAAGACCGAGGAGGAACGTGCTTGCCAATAAACCAGCAAATCATGATGTTATCAGTGACCAGGAAATGGTGGACAAAATTTTTGGGTTTTTACCTTCTGTGATTGGAGGCCAAGAAGGACAGGCTCCTCTGGGTTTTGAGGTACAGAGCTGCAGACTGGTAATGGGTCATGCTTATCCCTTGTGTAAGCCTACTGATAGTTGCAATTCCATCAGTGGTCAGTTCTGTTTAGTGAACTTCTGTACAGTGAAAGAATCCCCCAAATTAGTCATCCAGTCACTAAGGCATCTCTTGCAGAGGTGAGTTCCCAAAAGTTTTTGGTCACATGCAGCCTAGGGACTATATAGCTTCAAACTTTGCATTTGTTTCTTTGGCCCAGCCAAACAATACCACCCTCTGCATTTTGGCACCAACCTCATGCTCTGCTGACAGTGCTCTCAGTGATTTTCTGCCTGAAACAAACTGGAAGTTCATGACCCAAGTTATACCATATTCTAGAAGGCAACACTTGTGATATACTTGTCCTGTAGCTGTGGAGATTGGAATTTTGTAGGAAGAGTTGGGCAGAATAGAATGGTATGGATAAGTACAGGATGTAAACAGTAGCACCTAGATTTTCCATCAGAAATATTCTTGCTAAGGACCAAGACAGGAAGACCATATGGAATGGATGCATCTCAGAAGTACAAGCTCTGAGTCCAAATGATCTTTTGGTAAACTGTAAATGGCTTTGGGGTTAGCTGGAAAGGCAAATTCTGAAAGACCTATGGCCAAAGGGGAAAAAAACCCCAAAACTAAACATAAGCATATCAGAGTTCAGTAAAAGAAAATATGCTTTTTCCTCATGTTCTGTACAGGACTTGGAAACAAAGCCGAACAAGCTGGAGGAAGTGGACCTGGACATGGTTCCCATGAGTGTGGAGCTAGAAGAGGAAGCACTTGGTTTGGAAGACTACACCTTCCCCAAGTTTGCAGCTACTTATTTCCAGGGGTCTTCTACACATACACATATCCGGAGACAGCTGCGGCACCCACTACTCTACCATGAAGACAAGGACAACGTCCTGGTATCTTGCTCCTTGTTCATGTTGAACCTGCTCTCTCCACAGCCCTGGCTTTACAGGTCCCACCATCCTTGGGTCCTGGCTCTGGCACAGCCCTGGAAACCAGAGACTCCAGAGCCAGGGAGATAGTCCTGAGCCGTAGTATTGAAAGCAGCGGTTCCCATCAGCATTTTTTGGTATTTGCTGGCAGACACTTCACACAAACACCTGCTCAATGCAGGATTTCTGGGCACCTTTGTTCTTTCCCAAAGAGGGAACTCAGAGGTGTGTTTTGACTGCTCCAGACACCCTTTGTGGACAAAAATGGACTGGAGAGAAGAAGCATGAGAGAAGAAGCATAGCAGCTTATCTCTGCTCTTGTTAGGGTTGTTGGTTTGTGAGATAGGACAGAAGGGGGAGCGCCAGGCCTCCAATATCCCATTAAACCAGAAGGGGAATTGAGGAGGGCATTTTCCTTGATTCTAAGCAGCCTGGCAGAATGGAGGACCCCATGTTTCAAGAACTTTGCTATTACTTGGCTTTCTAGCTCTGGGCATGAAGGGTCCTGGCAGACTCCACTCCATTGATTATTGTCCAGGTCAGCAAATGCAGAGTGCAGCTCAGCCAAGTCTTCACCATTTCCCTCCAGCCACAGCACATCCCTGAGGTGCCAGTAAAGGGAATGGTGAGGGCTCAGCAATCACAGAGGCAATCTGACCTTTCCACCAGAGCTGTACCCTCTTCCTTTAGCAGGAAAGTGTTGTGTGTTGCTGTCTTGTTGTTTGGTATGAAATTAAACTCTTCGTGTAGGTAGCCAATGGAAATGGGAATTTTAACAATTTGGACTGAGTAAAGGAAGAAAATGCCTTTAATCTAAACAGGCAGAAATGGCACAGAGCCATTGGTCCTGTTGGCAGTGTCTGACTGTGCTTTCTGCTATTATAGGCTTCTCTAGCTGTGTGGGTGATCATCCTGAGGTTCATGGGGGACCTGCCTGAGCCAGCAATGTTTGCCAAGAGTGCCACCACCAAGAGCAGCTCCGTGATGACACAGATATATGACACACTTGGCAGGAAAAACCAGGTCCAGTTGAGGAATGACAGCCCAAATATGGTGAGACAAGTAGGCTATATTTGTGTTTTCATTTGCTTTCCCTGGTTTCTGTGCTGTTCTACCAAGAGTGAGAAAAGCAAAGGAACTCTTTCATGCTACTGTACTTGGAATGCCACAAGTACAAATGTCCTGGCAGGACATTCAGCTCTTTCTGGCAGGAGAGGAAAAAAACAAAAATATCTTCACTTGAGCATCTTTCTGTCCTTAATGAATCATTCTTGCTGTGCATTAAACTGATTTCCTATAATGGTAATGTGTATTGCAGAAAGAAGGCAGAAGGGATAACAAGATTTCTAAGGGGATTTCATCCCTGAAGCTGAAACGGTCATCCAAGCTGACAGGGAAGGTAAGAGGTGGAAATAAATTGCTTCTCTTTCTTCTTGCCTGAAATGCTATCTTTACCTTCTGATAGATGTTATGTGAGCAACCTCCCAGCTGAGAACTTGTTTCCCTGCCAAGCCAGGGCAGCCCTTTGTGGGATACCTGGTGCAGTGTTCTTTGGAAACGATCCCCATGTGTACTGATGTCATCTGTTCTCTGGCAGAGAACACAAAGAGAAATTTATTACTGAGAATTGTTGGCATTACAGAACAGCTTGCCCAGAGGCCTGAGCAGACTGAGAACCATGTGCTTAGGGCTGTACAGGACAGTACATGAAAATTCTCCAGCCAGAGATAGTGCTGTAACAGCACATGTAATGAGTTACCTTTAGAAGGAAGGGGGTAATATGGCCTGGTTCTCCTGCACTGAGCAGGAAGAATTTTAGCCAGTAAGATAGGGAAGGAATGTCTTTCATTTGTGGGAGAGCTGCCTGCTAAGAGGGGAGATCTCTAGAGCACTCTGGGGTTCTAATGTTTCTTTTAGGTGACAGAGCAGCTACGAAGTGGAGAAGAGGCTTTCCAAGAGGACATCTCGATCTCTCAGAGACCTATGTCCAACCTAGAAAAAGTACACTTCATTATTGGCAATGCAATTCTGCGTCCTGCCATCAGGTAGGAAATTTGTACCCCCTTCCTCGGGCCAGCTGTCCATTGCATCAAGGAAATCCAGCATAGTTTTTCCACAGTCCTGGAGAATTACTCCGTTACTGCCTTTTCTGGTAGTTTCATGTTGCAGTTTAGGCCAGCTGCCTCCATGTATGGCTTTCTGAATATCCCACAGCTATGGAAAGGGGCAGAGCTCAGGGCTGTGACTCAATAGCACTTGAAGGTGGAGCACTGCCCTAGAATGAGGGAGAAGAGTCACTCAGAGGAGTAAGAAATATGGAGTTAATGTATACTAGATGGATGAAATAGCCTCTTTTTGAGGCTATTTCAAGAGGCCCAATAGCCTCTTTTTGAGTACTCAAGCAATGTCCCCACATCAGAGATGGTCAAAGGTCTGGATTGCTGAGTGTATCAGACACTAAGGATAAATCCTGACCACAAGCAGTGTGAGGCTGGACGAGGCCAAGCATGGTGTGAGGATATGGCAGAAGCTCATTGATTCTGACCTGACCTCATGAATCCTCTCCTTTTTTTAACCAAAGCACTATTCTTCAACAGAGCCCACAGACATAGGCCGTGCCTTGACCTCAGTCATGGGCTGCATTCCTCTATCCACAGTCACTTTGTTTCAGTCAAGACACTCCCTAAAGCAAATGCTCAGCTGGCAAAAATTGCATTCAATCCATATTTCATAATAGCCACAGGCTAAGTACCTATACCCTCCATTTGTGTTTCATCAAATGTCCTATGAGGGAATAAAAATCTCATCCAACTTATGTCCTCTCACATCAGAATTGACAAATGTGTGTTCCAAGAGTCTAGAATAAATTAAGATGATTTTTAATAACAGTTTTATTTGTATGCAGATTTTTGTATCTGTTTCCCTTAGGTCCTGTCCTTGCTGTAGATAACTTGTATTTTCAAAAGCTTACTCTGAAGCTCTCATTTCTCCACTTCTGTACAAGATACACTACAAGTTTGTATATAAATATGTAAATATATAAATACGTAGATATAAAATTAAGCAGGGTGTCCCCCATCCTTATCTCCAAATCCACCTACAAGGAGACAGACAAGAGCCATGAGCTACAACCCACATGCTGCAGAGAGCTCAGAGCAAGTTACACATCTAGACTCTTGGACAGAAATGCCATTTCACAGCTGGATGACCCAGCTGTGTTTTCCTGCACAGCCCCCTGCTTCTCACAGAAGTTAATTCAGCATGGGAATTGCACTTGAGTGAGAAGGGGTGGCAAAAGGCCCTAAGCATGCCTGGAGCCTTTTCCATAACAAAGCTATTCCTGTGGTGCATTACAGGTGCTACCCTAGCTGTTGTGGTTGAACCTAGCTCACAACTACTTCATCATGCTGCATCAGGCCAAGCTTGCAGTCGAAACAGCTAAAGAGAGTTCAGACAGTGAATTATCTGTTGCTCTCACATGTTTCTTTACAGAGATGAGATTTATTGCCAGATTTGCAAACAACTCACAGAAAACAGCAACAGGAGCAGCTATGCTCGTGGCTGGATCCTTCTGTCGCTTTGCCTTGGTTGTTTTCCTCCTTCAGACACATTTGTGAAGGTACACTGCTAACCTTTCTTACAGCAGCTCACACACCTCAGCTGAGCTGGTGTCTTGTGTATTTTGATGTTTTGATGCTGACAACCATATAAAATGTTTGGCTTCCAGAGCAGCTGGTGCTGTGGTTTCAGCAGAAGCTTTCTCATCTCATATGCTTATCTGGGAATTTAAATAAATTATTGCTGCATTCATATTTAATTTTTTCATTATACATGATACAGTCTGGATTCTGTTATTCATCACAACTTTCATTTTAGGTCTATAATCTGCAAGGGATCAAATTTTAACCTCTCCAATTCTGCCTTTCCAGCCAAAGACAACCAAAAGATGTTTTCAGTTACAACCCTAGTGATTAAATATATTCAGGAGGCCAGTATAAAATTACACCTTCAAGTTTTATCAGTCCTTACCCTATATCTCTACGGCCTAAAAAATCCAATAGATATTTTGACTTTTTAATTATTTATTAATTTCCAAGTTTAAATGGATGATAAATCCACTTCACCACAGGATAAAAACTCAACCTGTGGCTCCAACTTGACATCAGACTTTCCCCTAGATCTGAGAGGCAAACAGGATCCGTGGATGTGCATGCAACTTCAGCCTTACTTTACCAACACCCCAGCTCAAATAATCAATCTAATCATAAATGTTGCTAAATAGACACTACTTGGAACAAACCAGTCACAAGCCATAGGCATAATTTGACACCAGTCTTCATCCAAAGACTTGGAAACATGTAGAATTCATGAAAGATATGACCATACTCTACCTCTAGAAATATTTTTATTAATTAAAATAACCAGATTAATGACCCATGCTTGCCCTAAATACAAATACATAAGTACAAGTCCATGTCATCCAAGAGCCATACAGACTCCAAAAGCTCCGTTTATCCCATTCATCTCTTCAAATGTCCCATCTTAATCATGGACTTCAGTTGATATTGCCAGAGAACTTGGCAGAACTAAAAGTATCACTCATCATTAGACTTAATCTGCCATCAGTCCTCTTCCCAACTCTTCCATTTGTACAGCATGTCCTAAGACTTCAGGCTCTTGGGTTGGAAACACTGATTCTTGCTCTAAACCTAACCATAAGAACAAAGTCTTCACTACTCATGTAGTTAAACGTGGTGGATAGACTGACACAAATCTTCTCTCCCTTTGGACTTTAAGTTCTGAAGAATAAATGAAAACAAGGTGTCTCAAGCCTCCTTTTTGAAGACATTTATTCCAACCCTAATCTTTAGTATTTTCTGGTGAACTGAAAGCTAATGGATCACTCTAATCTAGTGTATCAGCTGCAGAAGGTTTTTAATGTTTTCTGATGATTAATGTTTCCTAACTCCTTCTCCTGCTCTGTGCACATAGTACCTGTTGAATTTCATCCACCACGGGCCCACGGGCTACGCTCCATACTGTGCTGAGCGTCTGAGACGCACCTACAGCAACGGGGCCCGGACTGAACCTCCCAGCTGGCTGGAACTTCAGGTAGCAACTCCCTTTTGGCTTAATTATATTAATCTGGGACGTTTAATACTGGTTTTTGTAAGTATACTACTTACTTTGTAGTTATACAACATTCACTAATCTGTAATAGCAGGCTTTCCTAATTCAAATAATGGAAATCAATTGCACAAGGGGATTGAAGACCAACCACCTCGGTCTGGCCAGTTTTTTGGATAAACCTATTTTGACTATTCAGTTATCCTAAATGCAGAAAAGTATGTAAGCAGCAGCAGATGATTTGCAGGGAGTACCTCCATCCACTCAGGAACCACAGGCCAGAAACAACCTCCCGAGGAAAGCTCTTACTATCACTTTTGGAAAGAACTGAGCAACGCTTATGCTTTTAAAATGAAAGGAAGAAGGGAGTAAGATGGTGCTATATTGTCCTCCACTTCCTTTAAATGTCACCCTAGTAATTAAATATCACAACCCCCCTTCCCTTTCAAGTAAAGATCTCAGTTCAATTCCTCCCTAAATCTCAGGGACCCTACTGCTTAATACACATCTTCCTGGGCAATGTACTTGCTGCAGGCCATCTCTCCACTGATGCACATAAGGCTGCTCCCAAAAGTCATCAGGACAAACGTGGCTCATGAAAAGTCTATCAATTGGCACTGTTATGTGATTATCAGCTCTTCTGAGCTGTGAGGAGGAGAAAATTTGAGTCCAGTGCTGCTCCAGGGATGTAATTTATATTTATGAATCACCATGCTTTGATGCTTTGAAGAAACTGTGTGGGTGTTGGTGATTCAATTCAAGATTGTTGACCAGGTTTTACAGGGTGTGTAGTTCTTAGATCTAAAAGCTTACTTAATTCTTCAGAAGAAAGTAAGGTTTGTCCACAATTTTTTTTCTATTAACTCTGACTTACAGGCAACAAAGCAGAAGAAACCCATTATGTTTAATGTCACCCTGATGAATGGCCAAAGCATCACTGTCCCTGCAGACTCTGCTTCCACTGCCAAAGAGATCTGTCAGTTCATAGCAGATAAAACCAAACTGAAGGATGTCTTTGGGTTTTCGCTCTACATTGCTGTGTTTGATAAGGTAAAGTGTAGAAAAATAGAATGAAAGCTCCCTTCTCTTTCTGTGGAGTTGCTGCTGCCCACCCAGCCTCACTGAGAACTCCTGAATTCTGGAACACCCTCAACCCAGTCCTGCACTGAAACTAAATCAGTTCTGAATCCCAGATGGATCTCAAGGCCTTATAATCCTGTTCTGCCTTTCTCTTAGCTTATCACCCAGCAATTCTTGCTGCAGCCCTGTCAGGTTTCCTTTGCCACATAGCTGACTAGTAAAAATACATCCACTTACCACATACAACTCGCATACTCATCTGCTTACCTTTTTGGAGTTCCTGCAGTCAGGAGACCAGGCGCATTGCATTTATTGTCCTGCGGGCAGGCCCAGAGCAGGCATGCCAGTAAATGCAGTGTCCCTCTGTGGCAGGTCTGGTCGCTGGGCGGGGGCCGGGACCACGTCCTGGACGCCATCTCGCAGTGCGAGCAGCTGGTGAAGGAGCAGGGCACCCACGAGCGCCACACGCCCTGGCGCCTCTACTTCCGCAAGGAAATCTTCACCCCCTGGCACAACTCCCGGGAGGATCCTGTCAGCACTGATCTCATCTACCACCAAGTCATCCGGGGCGTTCGGTTTGGAGAGTACCGCTGTGAGAAGGTGAGTCTCCTCATTCATCCTCCTAAAGAGACATAGCTATATTAATGCTTCCCACATTAAAAAGCAAGAATATGAACTAAGTTTGTAGTGGATGTGAACAACCCTTCCCTTCTTAATGAACAATCCCTGTCCAGGTGATTGTGCCAGCTGTCACATTGCCAGTTCTAATTAATACTTTCTCCTTCCCTGCAACTTCCAGTTCATGTGAGAGTTTAGAGGCATGTCCAAAGGGGCAAATTGGGTCGTACTTTAAAATATATTTGCTAATAATCTCTCTGATGTTATGACTGTGTGACATTCATCCCTCCTTATGCTGGGTGACTGTAAAGAGTTATCCAGACAAAAATTGAGAAAACCCATTTCCTAAACGGCTCAAAGGTTGAAAGAGGCTATCTAGCCTTTGTGACATCCTTCTAGGCCTCTTTTAATGGATTGTTTCAGGAGGAAGATTTGGTGGAGATAGGTGCAAAATACTGTTATATCCAATTTGGAGATACCATCCACAATGAACTTGTACAGAAGGTGCTCCATGACTGTATCCCAGTAAAACAGCTGAAATCCAAGCCCCTGGAAAAGTGGGTGAGCCTTGTAACCTATGCACATGCTAAGGTAAGAGGTTTGTCAGGCACTGCTGGGTAACCACTCTTGAGCACAAATTTCTGCTTCTTTCACCATTTTCATTTATGAAGTCTGTAGGGTAAGAAGGAAAACCAGCTCTGTTTGTAGAGCCCAAATAGCTCATTAGGTCTGGGGGAGCAGAAAACCTTTGTACTCACACTTCCATATGAAGAACAAGGGGGAAGAATGAAAAAGTACATTTAAATATCTGAATAGAGTAGCTTTTAAGGTTCTATTTTCCATCTGATGACTAAGTCAGGATGGGATGGCATGACATACTGGTTTTGATCTGGAAATGGATTATCTGAATTATTTCCATGGCATCCAAGCTGTGTTAGACTTTGACTAGGTCAGTGGGAATTTTAGGGCAATTTGGAATCCAGATGCCTGTGGGCACTGTTAGCTGCATGTGGGTCCCTGGAGATTGTTTCTGATTTACTTTCTCCAAGTTCCCTTGACACCAGTAACATCAGAGTATTGTTGGGATCTCTGAGATTGGGCTTGTTCTCTATTGTCTGCAGATCATGCAAACCAGATTTTACTGAGAAAACCTTGGGTGCGTTTTTTTCCTGCAGGCCCCATACACACAAGACCATCTCTCCTCTCAGACTGTGAAGGAACAACTTGTAGATTTTGCTCGCTTTCAGTGGCCTTTGCTTTTTTCCAGATTCTTTGAAGTCACTAAGTTTTCAGGTAAAACCTGGCATCTGGGAGTAGAGGACAGATGTAAGTTCAATAGGAGAACACTTGTATAGCATTGATAAGGATTTTTTTCTCTATTTTCAGGCCCCAGCTTGCCTAAGAACCACTTCATCATTGCTATAAATTGGAAAGGCATCTGCTTCTTGGATGAGTCAGAAAAGCGGCTCCTTGAGCTGAGCTTCCCAGAGATAACTGGCATCCACACCAACAGGTGAGAGCCCTAGAAAGACAAGATCTGAAGATGCCATCTCTTCCATACTCAGAAAGGGTATCCCTTTTCTGCCACCTCCTTAGATGATTTGATCTGTGTGTGGAAAGGTGGTTTAGCCTAGGTCCAGGAAGGAGAAAGTCAAAACTTCTGAGCAGCCTGTAAAGGAAATATTGAAAGGACTGGATCCTTCCAGCTGGTGTAAAGTGATTCTGTTCAGTCAGAAAGGTGTAAGGAGGCACAGGCAGGCATCGAGACAAGAATGACCCAAATAATTGACACAGTTAAGCCATTGTCTGTTGAGCATGCTGGGAGTTCCCATATTTCTCATGGACCAGAACAGGATCACTGAGAAAAGCAGTTAACTATTGCTTGCTCATGGCACACATCCTTGCATCAGGTCACTCAGAGAAAAGGGTCTTACAAAAAAGCCCCCTGTGAGGACTGCCAGAGATTGAATTAGTTGTCAAGTTACTCCAAAAGAAGGGTGTTCTTTTGTCTATATGGAAGCACTTCTATACAAAACATGGTGAAGTCCAGAGTAAAGCTGAACCACTTCCATCCTTCACACCTACCAGTTCACGTGAAGGCAAATTAGGAACTACCAATATTCACTGTAAGGGAGTTATCTGAAAGGAGATGTGGGTGCCTTGCCTGTGTTTACAGATGGGTCTGTACGTTTTTTAGATGCTCTGGTAACAAATTGTTCAATAATACATAGGGCAGTGAAGTCATTCGGACAGAGCTGCACTCTCATCACACTTCGTGCTGAGGAGTTTGTTCTGACATCTGTGAACAGCGTTGTCATTGCTGAACTGGTGGTGATGTTCCTGGAAGGACTGAAGAAAAGATCACAGTTTGCTGTGGCAATGCATGAGAAAAAATCTCAGGGTAAGTCTCATAACTCTTCTACAGGGTGTGGAAGAAATCATGAGAGAATCCAAAGCACTTGTTTGAAGGTGCTCAGAGAGGGAAAACTTTATCAAGAGTCCCTTTGCTCCTGGGGGGATGCATCAGCACAGCAATGCCAAGCATAAGGCAATGGGATTCAGGACCTTTGCACACAAATAATCTTTCCTTCCTCCTTCTCCTTCTTTATGTATTTTATTTAGATAGTATAGTGTCCAGGAACCCAGTTTGTTTATAGTAGGAAGTTGGATCTGGGCTCTCTGGAAATACTTTGCAGGAGAATTTCACAGAGGCAGTAAACTGGAATTTCCTGTGGAATACAGGTGGCTTGAACAGACATACATGTTTAAAATGTAAACATTAACTTCAGCTACTTACAACTACTGAGTTTCTTTCCATGCTTTGCTGCCAGTCTAGACACAAAGTCAGCATTCATGTGAATCAAATGGAGTTCTGCCATTGCCCTCAGTGGATCAAAGTCAGGGTGTCAGAGGAAACAGAAGTGATTTCTCTGAAGTGTTACTGGAAAATTAGCCATATTTACAAATCACTTTCTACTGCTAACTGAATTCAGGCCTTCAAAATACAATTTCCTTGTCTTTCACATTGCAACCCCTTTACATTTTCTCAGACTGTCAAGCCTGAACAGTACCCCCTTATTCTGTTTTCCAGAAGATCCTGGCATCCTGTCCTTCAAGAAGGGAGACTTGCTAATCTTCACTGAAGGCAAAAGGCTGGATTCAGACTCTGGCTGGATCTGTGCCCAGAATGAAAGGACAGGCAAAACAGGGAATGTATTTTTGGAAGACATCTATATCATTCCTTCACTCACAAAACCCTCTAGTCAAGTGCTGGTAAGGAAAGCTAAGCCCTCCATGTGAAAAGACTGGAAGAAGATAAAAATGTTAATATGGTTGAATTTATAACTGGAAGATAATTGTCCCTCCAAAGTCAGACAAATTCTATACCTCCCATTGAAACAAAGCATTTAATTCTGTCCTGTCTGAACACAAAACTAAACCTAGCCCAGACTCTAAGGAGAAGACTGCAGCTACACAAAGGCAATGACTTAAAAAAAAACCCAAAATCCATTCTATAGTCACCATGGGAGATTTCAGTGCCTGCAACTGGTAGCAATTAACAGGTCTGGGTGTGCAATTGAATTCTCCTGCATTCACTCTGGGCTTGAGTGGTAATCACATAATGCCTCAAGAGAACCTCTGAGTGCATCAGGTAACTTAAAAAGAATATGGTCTTTGAGGGAACCAAGGTTTCTTATTAATGCCTCTGCTAATAATTTTTGTCTTCAGGTATGAGGATTCAGTATACTGGACCCTGTGCTAACAGATAAAAAGCAGAAAAACTGGCAGCAAAACACACTAGAGAGAAGCATGTGCATTGTAAAACATGTGTGGTGCTTTGGATAATCACATACATTTTCATGTCCACTACTGTCATGTGTGTGTAAATTGCTTCTTGGATCAACTGTTCCCAGGCCTTTCTTGAGTCTCTGGAGATGCTGCTTTTGAGACAGGAGGTCTCGGGCAGCACACAGGGCTACCTGCACACAAATGCTGAGTAATACCTGACAGTGTGTGCAGAGACCCATCTCCATGGAACAGCTCTGAGTGCCTGTGTTATTCCAGAGTTTGCTGATGATGTCTCCAGACCAGAGGAGGACAGCTTCACAGAACTCCTTCATGGACGAACCTGATGAAGAGGATATCAAGGTGAAGCCTTACACCCTGGAAGAATTCTCCTATGAACACTTCAGGTGAAGTTCTCTCTGTAGAGTACGCTCTAGAAAAGTTCCTGTTGATCAGTAATCCTTAAAGCCTATTATGTAATAGCATCTCCCACTTCTGATTGCATTTCTTCTTTTTGCTCCCTGTAATTGTGATTTTGGATCTAGAGATTCTGGCCCATGGCCTATTGTGTCTTAAGTCTGCAGAAATGCAAAGGGGAGGGCTGACTGGGCTGACTTCTTCCAGCAGGTTCTATTCTTATTTCTCACCCTTTCTTCAGCACTTACCAGCTAGTGAGGATATACATCATCTCAGGCTTCAGAAAGTAAGGGGAAAATTAGTTTTCTAAAAACTCCTCTTTTTTTTTTGCAAACTTCCTACCTTCTGGATATACAGGAAACTACATTTCTCTGCTCCTGTTGACCTACAGAATCAAAGGAGATCTGAAATCACTGTCTTTTTAAAGAACAGGTCTAGAGATATGACTTTATGATAATGACCTCCTTTGTTCATAGCAATACTGATCCAGTAATTTTGTATTGCTTCCACTTGTCTTTATTCAGGACTCCTGAAAAGGAATCCATCAGCAAAGCTGTTCTCCAGAAATCCCGTGGGCACAGTCAACTATGGGCACATTCCAAGGAGCCTCTGAAACAGCCATTGCTGAAGAGAGCATGCACAGATCCTGATCTTCGGGATTTGGCCTGTCAGGCCTTCATTGATATCCTTTCTCTCCTTTCTTTGGATCTGAGAACACTAAAGGGGAAGGAAGAGTTAGCTAGGCCCACTAAATTACCTCTGTTGAGATACCTCAGCCACCTTATAGGGGATAGATTTGCATAAAGATGGAGCGGAACAAATTTGTTTCCCTCGTCTATAGGGAAATGTTCCAATTTCCTCCCAGTACGCCACAGCTATGATGGCTCACTAAACTAATAATGTGGCTTTAGGAGTGAGAGAGATTTACTGCACATGCCCAGAGAATGCAGCTACTAGCACAGTACAAATCACAACCAAGCAGCACTGCTGCAAAGGCGAAGGGGACAGGCAGGGAACATGCTCCAGACCTTCCTCCCAGTATTAGCCACTTAGACATCAACAAAGTCACTAACGTGTTCGGATCCAGATGAAACTTCCCATTTGCCTTCCGAAACTTCTGCTTTTCTCCTTAACAGCACATTCACCCATCATGAAATTCATGGGAGACTACCCCTCAAAACAGGCACACTCCTCCGTGGAAGTCACTGACCAGATATTTGTGCCAGCTATCCAGGAGGAGGTCCTGAGGGATGAGATTTACTGTCAGATTATGAAACAACTGACTGAGAACAGAAACAGGTATTTAATTTACCTGGGTACAAACAGCCTCCTCCTGCAGAGCCAAGCCTCAAGTGCAGGGGGCATCCTTGGTGCTGCAGCAAGGAACCCTTGCAGGGGGTTCTTTGGCACTGCAGCAAGGAGCCCTTGCTGCATTTGTGATGCAGTGGGGGCAGGGGAAGGATAAACAAATGTTGGAATAACAGCTTCCCTTCCCCCATTTGCCAGGCAGTGCTTACCTTTGTGGAGTGCTCAGGACCACTCCCTGGCAGGGAGAGGCCAGAGAGCACCATCAGTCATCTCCCCTGAGCTGCTGCTTTGCTCCCATCAGCATTCTGTGCTCATCTCCTTGTGGCATGAGGCAGGCAGGGTGTCACTGAGGCTCTCCTGCTCCCAAAGCAGTCTGCAGGGGAAACGTGGCACTGCATAGTCCTTGCATCCCATCAGTGACTGCCCTGACAACTCCCCATTTAAACTTCCAAACAGCAGCATTCCCCTCTCACAAAAACATAGTTCACACTGGATTTTTACCACCAGTGAGTAACTACTTTTGAGTAATTATATTAATTAGGTTACAAAACTGCCTTGCAGAACAGATTGGTTACAGAGGCACCTGCCCACATAAAAGTCTCTGAAAAGGGCTGGTGTTTTCTTCCCCATTCACAAAATGATAATTTGATCTACTTCTAGGAAAACTGAATTGCAAAAACAGCTTAAAATAATATTAATTATGAAAATAATTGTTTGTAGTTTCTGGATGCATTATGTTTATTTATTTATTTTCTTTCTTATGTTCCACAAGTATTGCATGTAGTGGAACTTTCATCATGTGTGTCAGTGTTGAATGGTAAATTCTCTCGCAAGCAGTGAATCTTACAGGCTATTTAATACTTAATCTGTAACCATGGTGCCAGTGCCATGGTGCCATGCCTGATGTATTCCACCAATGTGAGCGGGATCACTGATGTGGAAAAAACAATGCTTGAAAGGTGCCTATTTGCATATACTTTCATTAGAACAGCCAGAGCAACAAATCTTTCATCCTTCCCAGGCTGCTGTGCTGTGGACCATGTCCTGCTCTCACACAGACATAAACACCACTCTATAGAGTATAAATGGGATTAAAATAGTCTGTCTTCATCTGCAAAATTAGAACAGTAAGTGGGAATAAAGAAGCCAGAACCTCTTTATTCAGTGAAGTCTGCCCTTTCAGAGCCAGGCATGCTGACTTTCCCAACCAAAACCACTTCACACCAGTAAGCATTTCAGAGCAATCCTTGGACACAGCTGAAGTGTGCTCTGCTCCTGGCTTTGAGGCAGAATGACTGACCACCTCAAGGCTGCAGAGCCCTTCTTAATGGTGAGGGCAAGGTGCTAGAAGAGCTTCAACTGTCAGATTTCACAGATGCAAAGGCTAGAAGAACTGGATTTCTGCCTGAAAAATAGTACCAGCTTGATCTGGAGCATTTAAGAACTGCATCTACCTCACTACATAATGCTATCAACATGCTCATTTTTCAGAACAGGAATACATGTAAGGGGAAGTCAGTGCATGCAAAATGTTCATGCCCTGAGCAAAGCTGCCCAGTGCAGAGGGCAGGTGAATACATCCATTGAGAAACCACAGTCTGAATACCTGTGAGCTTGAACACCAAATCAACAGTGGCTTTCCAAGAGGATGGCACCAGGGTCACTAATGCTAAGATGTCTGCTAAACTGGAATTTATATTTATTCATGAGGTTTGCATCTGTCATGAGTACTTCTCATGCAGGACTTGGCACTGTCTTAACATGCAGGCTGTGGCTGTTGCACAGCAAATGGATACCAGAGCCTTGGGTGAAGGCTCTGTTGATTTGCAGCTCTCTGCACCATGGGACCATGATGGGAGTTTATTTCTCTTCCCTGTAGCTGGTGTGTGGTCAAACAGTGAATTCTATGTGGCTGTAGCAGAACTGTTGACTTTGTGTTCCCAGGTACAGTGAGACCAAGGGCTGGCAGCTCCTCTGGCTCTGCACTGGCCTCTTCCCACCCAGCAAGTCACTGCTCAAACATGCCCAGAAGTTCATAGAGACACGTCAGAAAGAAACACTGGCCCCGGGGTGTCGTCGGAGGATTCAGACAGTAATGAGGTACATATTCTGGCATATAACCAGCTCAAAGTGTTCAAATATCAATAATCAGGTCCCAAAAAACACACGGGCTAAAATAGTGTGACTGTTACTTTCTTTTTCCTCTTTACATCTTGGTTTTTCAAGTGATCATTATTCTGAACTTTCTTTATGGACTTGAACCATTGAAGAGAGGTCTATGTCACAGTTTCACTATTTTTTTTTTCAGTCAGCAGCATTTCAAAAAGTTCATCACCACACAAAATCACTCGACTCCCAGAGCTGGGTATTTCAAACATCCTAAAGGGCATGCATCTTGGAATTATGTCACTGATGATATCCTGACCTTATTTTCTTTGGTGAGGCAGCATGTCCTTGTTGAAAGGATCAGTACAATCAATTCCTATTCTTTGAAAAAACCCAAATGAATAAAGCCCTGACCCTTACCTGGCTGCTCACAGCAAGGCACTTCTCCATCCACTTGGCATTACCCCAGGCTGAAGCAACACAGTGCTTCCTGAGCTTCCAAATGAATTGTCATTCTAAGGGACATGACACAACTAAAGAGAGGGGAAGGGCTAACAGGATTTCAGGAAGGATCAACTGAACTGTAGGAGAAAGGTTTCCCTAGATTCCTCCAAGCACTGGGATAACCCAGTTTGCCCCTCTGAGAACAAAGCTTTGGCATCAAGGTTGACTGCGGCCTTCTCCGTTTTGATAGTGCTGTGATTTACCACTTGCCTGCCACAGACCTCATCAGTAAAGAATTTGCCCAATGATTTCTCCTTCCAGCTCTTGCATCTTCCCCTTTCCCTCAGGCTGGGCCACATGTTTGGTCTGTGAGCCCCACGGGTCAGGCTCTAGGGAAACACTAACACAATGGATATCCCTCTTGCAGTGGATGGGCTTTGGCACTGCTGGTGAAATGTCACCACACATTGAACTCACTTTTGAAGTGTCTGAAAAATGCATGGCAAGGAATGCTATTCATTGTTTATTTCTATGGAGAAGACTTAAAAATTCCTGCCTCCCTATATCATGTGGTATTCATGCTCTAAGCCCTGTTGAGCTGCACAGAGCTTCTTTAGAGAGAGCAAATAGGGAGGGGAAAGCAGAATGGGCTGCTTGGAAGGAGGATTTTATTTGCTAAACTGCCCCAGATCTGGAGCCTGGGGGATGGGAAGTGGAACAAAGACATATTTTGTCTTCTAAGAGCAGTTCTTTTCCTAAGATTAAACTTGCATCTGCTTAGGATAGAATAGATAAACTATTTCAGTTGGAAGGGATCTTCAATGATCATCTAGTTCAACTGCTCCCTGTAAGTAACCTGGTCTCTTTGGAAAGGGCAGAGCAGGCAGCTCAAAGGATTGACCTAAATACACACAGGGGAACCCAACTGAGCCCTTGGGAACACACCTTTTCTGCCATAAACCACTTTACAGCTTCACCCCCAGAATCCTGGAAAGGGAACCACCATGATGGGTGTTAAGCAGATCTCACCTTGGCAGTGAATTCCTAGCTCAGGCTGCAAGGACAGGTGGTTAGCTCCATGCCTCTGCAGCCAAAGTACTGCAATTCCTTGAGCTCCCAGGGCCTCCCTCTGATGGCAGGTCAGGAAAAGGTGACGGGTCCACAGTTCATACAGTGCCTGCACAGTACAAAGCACATGCTGTGCAGCTTGGTTACAGTGAAGTTTTCCTTTTCCAAATGGAAATGATCCTTTATTGAATGAAAAAAAAGAATAGTTTTCAAATCCACATAATTAAAGCTTGGATCCAGAGTAACCTCCTCCTGAGAGACTGACCCTGTATGAGAGGCCCATAAGCTATGGTGTTCAAAATACCTGAACAGCCTTGCTCCGTGCCACTGAGGACAGGAACTTACCAGCCCCAGCAGGTAATTTGCTAGATTTGTTCTGACTTTTAACTATGTCAAGATTTTGGCATGACTGAGGCTTCAGGGCCAGTTCTTTGCTGTAAAAGGCAGCTCTGCTCTGAGGTATAATTTCAAAGAAATGTGTTTGTATAGCTTAAGCACCTTGTAAGTCAGTGATTGCACTCCAGCTCTTATATAAAATGCTTTCAAGCAGCCCTCCAGACCTTTTTGGTACTTGAGCTCCAAGTAATTTTGTATCCAAATACATATCTTTTTGCTGATGCAGGAATTAAATAAAATGTATTTCTCCTTGTAGCCGTTATAGTCACATGTCAGTAAGGAAAAATAATGCTGAATCCATAGAAGAGGCAATGGTGCTGGCTAGGAAGGTGCCTTCTTCATGCAGCTTTCTTGCAGAGCAGAACATACTTTCACTTTACATGCCAGTAAGACCCTATGTTTCCTGCTGTTAATACACTGAATTTGCACTGGGGTGGAGGTCCACTAGAGCCTACCCCATCACAGAGTACTGGCATTTTGGAGGGTGTCTGCTGTTTGGCTGGAATACTGTTGTTAATTTCCTTAGTGATTAAATTGATCTCTCTTATGATGGTGGTGGCATTTTCCAGGAGCGGCTGCAGGAAGTGGGCACCTCATCCTGTGGAGGTTGAGGCCATCTTACAGAACAACACTAAGATCTCACACAAGATTTGCTTCCCCAACGAAACAGAACTGGTGAGCACTTACTGTTTTCCCAGCCTTGACCATTATTCCAGCCATGATGTGCTCATCCAGGAGCACATGTGAAGACATTCAATATTCTTATTTCTTCCTCTCCTCTGTCGTAACAAGCATCTTGTTATCTCATAGACATTTGATGTGGGAACAAACACCAAAATCCAGACTCTGTGTCAGAACATTGCTTCCAAATTAGAGCTGCACTCCTGGGAAGGTTTCAGCCTCTTTGTGAAGATTGCAGACAAGGTAAGCCCTTTTTGACTCCGGTAGGGTAGCCAGGCTGCCCATCCTCTCTTATTTATTTACCAGCCACCTAAACAACCAAAGCCAAGGACCAGAGCAGGCGATTACTGCTTCTGTCTTACTGAGGGGATACAATCTAAACTTGAACTTTTAGCACTTGACAATTCTTTTCAATCTCTTGAAGAAGCTGGATGGAGATGCAGAGCTTCTATCATTCTGCCAGTACCCAGGTGGCACTAAAAGCAGAGAAGATGTAGGTGGTCCAGGCTGCTAGGATGGTTGCATACTGCTGAATTCAACCCTTTTTAACTCAGACTTTACACATCTGGATGTACTGCACATGTACAGTGCTCTCTAGGATTAGGGAAAGCAGGGGCAACTAGCACCAGTTAATTACTCTCTGGTTTGTTGGGAGCCTGCCTTGCCTGAGCTGAAGCTTGGGCTGGCTGTCTCGCTGAGAGGTCCCTTCTCTTTGAAACTCTGATTAAAGCAAAAGCAGCAATGAGCCCTAGCACAGGGAGTTTCTAGTGGGCTGCCTTCCTGAAAAGAGAAACACTTTACAAAGAGAAGACAACTGGGAATAAGCTAGGCATCTTCAGCTTGATTTCAATAAGCAACCTGGAAAGCAAAAAGCCACAGAAGATGCAATAAAGATCCCCATATGAAATATAAGTAAATTTAGCCTTCGTCCTCCTATTTTTCTGCTTCTTTCCTGCTATAATTCTGCCCTCTCACTGTAGACAGAGAAAGAAAATTCAGCCTGATACTTGGGTACGTGGCACAGGCAGTATTTTATATGATGCGCAAACCCCTAATTTCTCTCCTTCATTGCTTGGCCTCTTGGCAGGTGATCAGTCAGAATGAAGCAGACTACTTCTTTGACTCACTAAGGCAGGTGACAGACTGGAACAGAAGGAACAAGCCAGGAAAAGATGGTAAGGAGAATGCCAGCATGACAAGAAGCTGCATGAGATGCTGTGTTGAACTGGAAAGTAGCTGATCCATCCAGTAGGATCCACTCCATCTTGGGAAGTGTTTAGCACAGTCTTGTATCATTTTTGTTTGTACACACATGGTTAATGCCTGCACCAGCAAAAAGATCCAGTGACCTGATGCAGGCAAGTACTGGCTATCAAAAACACCAGAAGATTTTGGGGGAGGAGGGGGGGGGGGAATCTCTCCAGAGATTTTAAATTGGTACAGAAGATTTTGTTGTATCCAAAACACAGCTGGATACATGCAAGTTAGATAGGCTGATCCTCAAATACTAAGAATCAGCCAACACATGCAAATAGGTTCTTTACAGAGTGTCACTCACATTTCTTGAGTTGTTAGAAAAATTTTAACCAGGTTATTAACTGCGATACCCACACACATTATGTTGTCAAGGAACCATTTGTTAGAATAAAACAATGGAATAATAATAACAACAGCAACTCCTTGCACTTACCATCCCACCCCCCCCCCCCCCAATAGATAATATATATATTGAAATCAATATCAAACTCTGTATCAATTTGTCTTCACCTTCGCATATTTCAGGACAGCTGAGGTTCAACTCCCTGAAGCTCTGTCTATGTATCTAAGACATTCTAACTTCTCTTCCCTCGGCTGATGTAGCTGTTAGGAGCTCTGAAAATCACAGTTTAAACATATGGGTGCACTAAATCACAATTCATTTGCAGAAGCACAGTCGCCAGGAGATGTATTCTCATCTGTGTAAGAGAATTTGGGTCTACTGCACACCAGCAGGCAGCTGTCATGAGCACCAATAACAAACACTCTATGGTAGTCCCTCAACTTCTACATCTGATCATTATATGAATAGTGTCCAAGAACTGAAAACTGATAATTTCTTTTGTCATCTAAAATGGCTTTTTGTGTTGTTTAGTTAGTAATTTTGTTCGTTACTATTAAAACCATAATTACTTTTCTGAAAACTCACAAGCCAATTAAACACTATAGGACTATCAGTGACATAGAGAACACTTACAAAATCTGATTTCCTTAGGTGCTGCTTTGTCTGTGGCCTATGAGGTGTACTTCATGAGAAAGCTGTGGCTGAATGTCACTCCTGGCAAGGATCTGAAAGCTGATACCATTTTCCATTACCACCAGGTAAGCAGCTCCCTAAAGAGGAGGTATCTTGTGATACCTTAATTTCCTGTGGGAAATTAAGTCTGCAGAAGTACTACTGTCTCCCTCTTGAAAGCCTGCATTATAGACCCTCCAGAGGAATACCTCCTCCAGAGCGGGGGGGCACAGCTCAGCCTCAGAACAGATTTATTTCTCAGTGTTCACAGTTTAGCTATACTGAACATGTTAAGAGTACAGCTCCTTTATCTCATTGCACTGTGGAATTGCTCATCTTGCTCCATAAATCAGAGAATCACAGAAAGTTTCGGGTTGGAAAGGATCTTTAAAGATAATCCAGAGAACCTTCAGAAGGAGCTAAAAGTTCTGGGGATGTCCTTGGACTGTGTTTGGCAAGACTTGCATCCTGACCTCACAAATTTAGAATGTTTAAGTCAGTGCTTGTTTTAGCCTATTCTGTCTGGATTCAGAGCTGGTCTCTTCCAGGAGCTGCCAAAGTACCTCAGGGGCTACCACAAGTGCTCCAAGGAAGAAGCTGTGCAGCTGGCAGGGCTGATTTGTAAAGCGCGCTTCAACAATGACCGCACACAGCTGGCAGCCATCCCCAAAATCCTGAAGGAGCTGGTGCCAGACAATCTGCTCCGAGCAGTGGCACCAGATGAATGGAAGAAGGTAAGAACATCAGCTTTCATTAGTCATATTACATTTATAGAGCTTTAGTAGAGAAAACACATTGAGCCACACTACATTTTTGATCTGATGGTCTTTGAAAGTACTCTGCAGGGACGGTATTGGATATTACTGGATTTGCCAGCAAGATAGCAAGAGGATTTGCCTCTTACAATGCAGATTTTACATATTCTACCAAAATTCTGAAAGGTATCTGCAGGCCTAGATGGCTTATCTGAAGTGTGCATCTTTCTTGGAGATACTAATCCATTTCTAGTGCCCAGATAAAGAGTTAGAGATTGGAGAGTCAGCAATGGGACTCAGAAGTTGAGGATATCAGACAGAAATAGAAAATTAAGGTGTCTCATACGTATCTCTTGGCAGCAAATCAATCTCCATGGACTGTGTTCATGCTACTTAGAGCAAAAGGCTCTTCTATCCACAAAAAGGACAAGGAGGTTTTAGCAGGTACTTACCACTTAGTCTGCTGAGGAAAACACAGGACATTCTTTCAAATAGAAAGGGAAAATTCATCCTTCATTTTTCAGCAAAAGATGCAATCAATACATGTCTGTGGGTGTTGAACACTGGCTTTCTGAGTTTTATCTCACTTCACCCATCTGCCCTGAAGTCTGTTTCCTCAGGCTGCTGGGCTTCCTTCACCCAGCAGAGGAACAAAGAATGCTGGAGGGTTCTGGTTCACCTTGCCCCATGACACAGCAGCTGTTTTCATTTTCAATTTTCTGCTGCTGGGGCAAAAAACCTGATTGTGGTGATGAGCTGATGCTGTCTTTAGTGCTAAGACTAGGCATTGGAAACATGCTTGTCTCCAACTCAGCTGGCTTTGTATCCTCTTCTCCTAAACAGAGCATTATTGCAGCATATAGTAAACATGAAGGAAAAACTGTGGATGAGGCCAAGATTGCTTTCTTGAAAATGATACACCGATGGCCAACATTTGGCTCAGCCTTTTTTGAGGTGAAGGTAGGTTTGAAGCCCTGTATGAGTGGATTTGGTAGTACATCAGTGCCAAGGGATACAGACTGACTATAAAAAAACATTATAAAGCTGAATTCCTGTAATCTAAGAAGAAAACTTAGGTCCTTCAAAGTTGGGAGATGGATTCTTTATCCATTCTGAACTATGCTTGTTGTTTACTGGCAGTGTTGTTGCTCTAGTTATAATACCTCTACTACAATTGTGTAGTAGCTGTAGGGGGCTGAATTGTCCTATCATTGCTCTCCACAAGAAAATGCTGCCAAATCTTATCTCTTTGGTGACTCTTCCCTCAGAACAGAATGGTACTAATCCTCTCATTCTAGAGTGTATATCTAAGAATAATATCCTATGTGTTACCTTTAATTTCTCCTCACTAGGCTCTTAAATAGTTTGCAATCAATCATTAAACCTGTTATCAAACAGCATAGTAAATAATGGACTTGATTTTGCTGTCATGGAGCATTTGCTCAAGTCATCAATATATGGTCAAAATGTTTCAGTGTTCATTTGGGAAAGAGAACAAGAAGCACTGGACATTGTTAAAGGTCACTAGGCCCCTGATACAGATAATTTCTCGATTTTCTGCTTATCTTGCTGTGTTACTCATTTACAGCAAGCCTCAGAGCCCAATTTCCCAGAGATTGTACTGATTGCAATCAACAAGCAAGGAGTCTCACTGATCCATCAGAAGACAAAGGTAACAAACAGCTGCTTCTCACAAGTCCATCTAAGGAAGGATTGAATGGACCCTGCTAATTTAGGGACAGTGATAGGACCCTGCCCAGGAATGGTAGGAGAGAATAGAGGCTCTCTATTAATTTTTTCCTGTGTGAAACTGAAGAAAATGTTACTGCCTCAAATCACTTCTTTGCAGTTTCTACTCTGGAAAGGAATAGGATAGAGCATCTCTGAAAAAAGACATGGGAATCATCATAGACCTGGCAAGGTGGTAAGATCAGGAAGATGGATGGGCAGTGCACCCAGGAACCTGCTGCAGAAAAATGCTTTGCAGGAAGCCCCAGCTGTCTAAGAGATCAGGCTGAATGGCCATGTTTAGCTGCAGTCTTAACGCCAATGGTCTGGTCTTAGCAAGTTCTCAGGAGAAAGGAGTATCACTATTTGCTTTCAATAATCAAACAAATTAAAAGATAGGTTTAGATTATTGTAAATCTAATGGCAGCGTGCTATGGCAAAGATCAATATATAATGAAAGGAAGTCTCACTAGTGTGATTAAGATTTTGGTGAAAATACAATATACCGCTAATCTGGATGCAAGAAGTACCTTGATCCATGAGTTTTATAAATGAAGCGGGAAAGAACAAGAATACTCTGGCTCTACACGTTTTCTTATGTAACAGCCTGTTTTCATTTAAGAAATGTTCTACAGATCACTTTGTTTCCCCTTACAGGATATTTTAGTAGTCTATCCCTTCAATAAGATCTCCAACTGGAGCAGTGGGAGCACATACTTTCACATGACCATAGGGAACCTGGTACGAGGAAATCGGCTCTTATGTGAGACATCTCTGGTAAGAAGAATTTTGCCAACTAAGGCACAACAAAATCCCAATTTTTCTTTTCCAACCCCGACTCCTACAAAAGATGGTGTGAAAACAGATAAATATCAGTGCAGCATTATACCAAAATAATTATACCACACAGACCATAATTATACCAATTATACCATAAATACCAAAAGCATTCACTGTTGTGTCAATAAAACTGCAATTTAGAACTGGTTCAGTTCATATATAATGCTATCTGATGCAAGGATGCATGACACAGGACACAAGGAAAAACAGTAATTTCCCAGATTCTTCCCATGCATCAAAATTTTATCCATCTCAGAAGTTAAGACTGCAAAGCTACATAAGAAGCTTTTTGTCTTGCATGTCTGCCTCCAGTTATGTAGTAGTGCCAGTCTTATAAGACTTCGTATTTTCCAGGGAGTGGTGCCACCTTTTTAACAACTGGTTTCAGACTATTCACAGTCTCAGAGAAGCATCACTATATTAATATTTAAAGGTTGGTTTGTAAAGATAACAAAGACATTTAAAGGCTAACTACTCTGACAGAAAAGCTTGGATTCTTAAAAACAAAAATCTTAAGTACAAGTCAAGCTACAGAGTGAATACCAAGGAGACAGCAGAGCTATGGTTTGTAAAGCTTTGGAAATCCATGAAAAGCAGAGGGAGGAATAGATAAATTATAACTAAATGAAACAGATATTGAAAGAAAAGATGTTCGTGCAAGGAAGAACCTGAGATGATGATGGACAAGGGAGGAAATGATAGTTATTTTTGCTTCTGGAGCTCTCTGATAGATTTAAGACTTTTTTTCTTTCCTGACAGGGTTACAAAATGGATGACCTGTTAACATCCTACGTACGCCTACTCATGAATGCTGTAAACAAGCAAAAGAACCTCCCAGCCTGAGAGTGGAAATAGAGCCCATGACCTGTACTTGTGCCAAACTACCTGTAATTTCATATCCCAGAAGAAATGCCATTTAAAAAATATTAATCTTGTTGATCGATCTCCTGATCACACACTGAATGAACTGAGTTGCTGAAAGACTACTACAAGAGAAGCTCAAGTGAGCATGTGCTTTCAAATATCTGTAACACTTCTGTCTTAGATGTAGTATGAGAATTCCATTCAGGTACTGGGTTTAGAGAAAGTTTAGATAGACTTCAATGTTCTATGGGAGTGGAGAAACCCTGTGAGAGCCCCTTCTAGTAACCTGAATCTCCTCCATTCAAAGACTACACACAGTAAGAGCTGTCTTCTTCTGGAAAGAAAATGCCCCTTATTGCATATGCTCTTACCAAATGCACAAACTCCAAGAGTCTTTGGAAACTAAGGTAATGTAATTTTTTTCCTCCTATTGGCAATTCTAAGAGTGGAGATATGCCCTTTGGTAGTAGATAACTGGACAGTTTGAAAGGTAAGACACTGGGTTCCATCCTCTGGTCCCTTGGTTACTTGCTGCACATGACAGACTGACAGCCAATTACTGTCAGAATGTAACTGTCCTTCCTGCATGCTGCTAAACTTGCAAGCTGTCCCCTGATTTACCACAGCCTTGCTTAAATTAAATAATCTTCTTTTTTCCACATGTTATAATGCGCTTGGAAACTTACAACCACTTTCTACTGTGCAGTTTCTAGTAAGCTCTGAAATGAGTCTGGGGTTTGGGTCCATCACTTTTAGTTGCTCCTATTTCAAGATATAGATGAGCTATTCAGTCCAAATCAGAATTGAAGAACTCAGTCTAACAGAGGTCTGTTGAAAAGAGACTTTTCTGCTCTACAAAAATGTTCTGTTTGGAGTTATGCAGACATTCCCTCATGAGACAAGAATAATAGCTTTAATTTGTCCTGATCTTTTCTGCTTCCTGTTTGGCAGACAGTTGAGTGGTAAAATTTGATTCAGCACTTGTTAATCTCTAAGAGCTTTGTAGAAACATAGCTTTGGTGCCAGGGGAACCAGAGTGTGCTCTGAGTGTGTAAAGCAGATATAGACTACGGTGGGAACAAGCTTAGCTGCTACCCTCTCAGATCAAGTACTCCTCCCTCGCTCCCAGTGAAACATGAACATGTCTTAAAGCATTTACACCAAGTTCCTCGAGACACAATCTGGCAGTGTTGGAAAAACAGCTCTGCCTGATCTCTCATCTTTGCCAATGGATGCACAATGGCTCTCTTGTTCCCTCAGACATGTGTGTGAAAAATTTAAATGCTAGCAGGAGTTTTGTATATGGGTGGCAGGGAAGAGCCCCACTCTCTTTGTGCATCTAAATGAGTGCCACACCTGTCAGAATAGCTGATCTTTTTGCAAGCAAATGCTCCTGCTGTAATGTCCATTGCTGGCAATGGAAATGCTGGAGTCTAATTACCCAGAGTGGTTTTGTCACCCAGTGTCTGATCTGACTAACTAGCTATGAGTGAGAAATGTTCAACACTTCACCTGTATAAATTTTGCAGGCCAAACTGTATTGTTTCTGGTTTTTAAATAAAGACTGCAGAAAATCAACCACAATGTCTTTTTTTAACCAAATGAATGTTTGCTCGAGATCCATGTAACCTAAATCATCCAAATATCCACTATATCCTTCCTGTAAATGATTACAGTATCCCATCTGCTCATTACATACACAACACAATTTGTACAACACACCCACTAAAAGAATGATACCCCTTTCTGCACATCCTCATCAACCAACACATCACCACAGAAGCAGCACAGGTCAAAAACATGAATTCACCACAACAGTGCCTCAGGTTTCAGCAGTACCAGAGTTCCGCAGAGAGAGTAACAGTTTCTGGCTAAGCACTGAAAATATGGTATTAACTGTACACTATACCATTTTTTTCGTGTAAAGATTTAAAGTGTATTACAGTTAACTTTAATACAAGAACATACAAAGGCACAGTATCAGAGCATTTCAATCTACAATCATGTGTTTCGGTTAGACAGCTCAAACAACGTGTGATAAAGTGAGAGCTCTACACAGTGCAGAACCTATCAAGGCCTGATCCAAGGCAGGGAGCTGCTAATTCTTTTCTCAGCCTAATATCCTCAGCACTTAATAGTGCTTTACAGACTAGTATAACCCTGTTTATTACATTCTTGCCTGAAATCTATTCCTTCTCCATCCAATCATTTCTGAAAGAATATCAGTCATATCATTTAATACCAGCCATGCCACATCAGGAATTCTCTCTACGAAAGGCTGACCAGTGTTTGCCAGCGTTGCACAGACTGCTGTAAAAACAGCAGGACACAAATCTAGAGAGAGGATTAGTGCCACAAAGAAAGACTGCAAATGATTAGCATACCCTTTGGGAAAAAAAAAACCAAACAAGCTTCACATACCATGCTTTCTAAAAGCAAAACCATTTTCAAGTGTACTCCGTGAGTGTTAGTGATTTTAATTAGGTATAAATATGAATTAGGTATAAATATAAATGTATAGTATGAGACATCTTCTATTAAGTGTAGATTTCTGAGCCAAGCTCAACCTTCATATAAATCTCTACTCTCCAGTGGTGTGATACTTAGGAAGAATTTGGCCAGCAGGTCTATTTACAGTAATGGAAAAAAGCGTGCCACTTATTTCTTACTGACACCTTGACTATATTAATTAAAAAGAAAACAAAGCCCAGCCCGTCAGCCTACCAAGGCGCTGAGGGGAACTTGTGAGTTTGCGCTATATTCTACTTGGTCTTAAAAAAGTAGACTGACAGAAGTAGAGGAAGATGCATTTTTTAACGCCATTTATAGTTACTTGTCCTACTCCTTCAATTCCACTCTCACACAGAAGTTATGTTGGTAATATAAACTACTGTAACTCTGCACATTGCAGGCTATGGGCAGCAGAAGCATAAGAAAAATGATTGTGAAAAATTAATAACTTAAGAGAATATTATCCTCCATTAGTATCAGGGATTACAATTATTTTGTTCACCAATTAATTTTGCAAAACATCCTGAAGATAAGGACATATTCCAAATCCTAGAGAACTGAACAGCTTATCAAAGAAAAGAGTATAAACTCTCCTTAGAACTCTGAAGCTTTCTAGGTCTGCCAAATCTCTAACATGAGACAAGGTGAAAGCACACATTAAATCTTCACTGGCAGCACAGAAGAAATGCCATTCACACACATGCATTTTCCATTGCTGAATGTGAGAGTGGCTGCTGAAAGAATATTACCTACTGGCTGCTAGTTACTTAGTCCTTCCATATTTACCAGGAATGTGTGGCTGTGTGCTTCTCCACCACTTCCCAGGAGGCTGTGGATACACAGCTGCTCAGATTCAGCATTAGACAGGGCCGGTGACTGACATTACAGGAACAGATCAGAATGTTTTACGCTGAGAAGAATCTGCATAACATACTGAGCTGCACCTAGGTCAGAATTCAAGTGTTTTATGCTGTGACAAAATGCCAAACAACAGGTTTGATTGTAAACGGGGGTCTTTGCAGGGCCACACTACTGCACCAAAAGACGTGCTGTTCTTTGTGCCCTTAACTAAAAGGCCATTTTAAGGCTGGTGAGAGAACAGTGAATAGCCACGTGTTCTCCTAAAGCAGTGACACAAGCAGCTACTGTTACTGGAATCTGCAGTGCAAATTAGTCAGAAGATGAGAGGCCTATCCCCCATCATTGTTAGAGTGGATACAGCACAACCCAGTTAAAAGATAATGATAACTTACAGCAATGAAAAGCAAAGCAGCTGAGGGAAACCGAGTTAGCAAAGGCAGCGAAGCTCTAAGAGATGGTCTCACATTCTGATCACTTATCCAGGATTTCCTACCAGCGTTTTGGTATCACTGGTGCAGTTCCATGGGTACTGATCCAGCAAGCACAGTAACACAATTCTAAGGTAGACTATTGCCCCAATCCAATTGCTGCTCACACATACAAGAAGTGGGGAAGCTTTAACTTCTTGCTACCTAATTCACCTGTGGCTGCAGGGTGTTGTCTAGGCCCAACAGCTGTGTTCATTTGACTGGCTAAACCAGCCACTTTTGGAAGATTTATATCATGCAAAGGACATTAGTCCTCCAGCGCCTGTCAGCCTTGCAAAGGGGCAGGCACAATCTCACAACTGTGCATGCAAAGGGATTTTCAGACTGCTCAGTTCAGCACAAGGAAGTATGGGGGTCACCTCTGGGGGACTCAGAAGCTCAATGGGATCATACATCGTGTGGGTGGGCTCAGGAACAACACTGCTGACAGCTCACCCCTAAAGAAGTATTGAGAATACCCAAAAGCAGTAAATTTCTCAGCACCTCGGGTTGTAGTAGCAGAGACAGTAGGACCAGTGAAATCTCACTGGTAACAGGCAAAATTACAGAGGAGGACTATATGCTTGAGATGTTAGCATTGTGTCTGAGATCCGCTCCTTAAGTATACCCAGGTGTCAAAAAGAAAGATGAATGGGACTCTTATTTGGGCAAAAATTTTAAGAAAAATGTTTTGGGTTTTTTTTCTGCATAGCACCACATTTGCTACAATCTGTAAACATTAGGAACAACTTCATGTAATTGGGCTTTCTGGAGTGTGACCAACAAGCATATCCTTGGCTGGCAAATAAAGTGAGAATGGGAAAACTGAAGTGCTTAAATTGGTACCATATTATTTATTCAATTTCCTTATGCAGAAGAGTAACCAGTGCTCCAGCCACACTGTCTCAATAAATACCAGCTATGCCAATGGACAGGACATGCTTTGTGTTGACCAGCAGAAGCTCTACCAGCCACACAGTAGTAGAGAACAGAGAAACTAGTGTCAGTTCTAATAAAATGTTTAGTTTGCCATAGCCACCTTCTCCTTAAGGAGAGCCCAAGTATTCTGAAGAGGCTCATATAGCCTTGACAGATGAAATCTCCTTAGTTCTGAGCACAGAAGCAGCAAAGGAAACTTCTTAGCTGCCTTAACACTGGGCCTAAGTGGGCAGTGCAGATGACATAGCTATTGGTTCCTGGGCTTGCCCAGTAAGCCTACAAACCAGAAGAACTGGGATATGGGATAGGGCACCCATATATTCTCTACAGGAATCTGTAGAAAGACCAGAACTTTTTGCATGTAGTCAAGAATGACAACTTACAGACTATTTGCCTATATATTAAAAAAAACTGAAAATTGCTTCAGCCAGAGTAATAAGAAAAATTCTGATACTCTGATTGAGAAAGAGCAAATCTGGTATTTCTTCCAGTCCTACATTTAATAATTTTTTCCAAATTCCTTAAACAAGAGGAGTGAAAAGAGTAGTAAAGTTCAGTTGAAGAAGGAAAGATTGTGTATAGCTCCACAAAGGCAAAATGCAATGTTAGTAGCAAATTAATAATCAGGCTGTGCACTGCTGAAGCAGAACTCATCCTCCTCTTCCTGCAGTGTTAATAGACAATTGCTTGGGAAAAGGGACAATCTAGATGCAAGAGACCTCACCAGAAGCAGGGGAACGTACTACTTATCTTTGGTTCCACTTCTTAGTAATTGCTTCTGTAATCAACAACTGCAGTGAGCAGCAGCTTGTGTTAAGAGTGCAGTCAGGAGACTGACAGACCTGCTTGCTTTAAGCAGAGTTTAAATCTAAAGCTTTAGGATGGATCTTCTTGGATGCCAGCTCTGACAACTTCTTCAGACGTTTCTTCAGCTCCAGAGGGAATTTCTCATAGCACTTCTTGCACACAGGCTTCATGTCAAACTCCACAAATTTATTCCTTTAAAACAAAGAACAATTATTCAAATGGTATTTGCAAACTATATGCTTCACTAATTAAAATCTCCATGCACCTACATCAGTGTTGTTGCAAGAGTTCTATGCCATTTAAAAAACAACTCATTTCCTTATCCGCATCCTTGCATCCTTATCTGGTAATGCAAACATAGATACTGGGTTCTTATCAGTGAACTGAGGTCTTCAGTATTGTCGGTAAATAAGGAGAAAGATTTTGCTATATATTTACATGTAGCAGTCTAGAATAATAATTTTGTTACTGTAGAATACAAGTGTCACTTCAGAGGTTTCCTTTGGGATGAATTAGAGCTCTTTCATATGGCCAGTAGAGCCAACCCAGCAGAGAGGATAAGGGTTGGAACCTGAGAAAGGAAAAACATAGGATTGTTTTTCCTGTCCCTCTTCTAGATATTTGAGGTAAATACCATAGTATTTTATTTCAAAATAATTTATGCAATAGCAAATATTGTTATTGAGGGGAGCAACCACAGTTAAGGAGACATGGAGGCTGCAGGTTGTTCAGGACAGGCAGTTCCTCAAAGTCTAGAGCCTTCCCTCTGTACTGCTGAATGAGCTCTCCTCTTACCCAACCTCTTTACAAGATACATTAATGAAGGAAAATAAATCAGAGAGGATGCTGTCAGCTTCCTTTCAGTGCTGAAATCAGTGGAATTATAAGCACCTGCTCCCACAGAGAAAAGGTATATTGGCCTTCAGGGAGGCAGAGGCTCATGGCTCCTCCAGGCTGGTACCCTGCCTTAGGGACAAATGTCTCACTCACGTG